TTATGCTTAGGAGGCCCCTTCTGGATGGGACGCTCCCTTCTGCACAGAGGGCCCTATCTAGGCAGGAGCCAGGAGGCCCCATCTGGCAGGAGCTCCTTTATGGGCAGGAGACCCCGAGGCTTCCTCTGCACAGGGGCCCTTTCTGGGCAGGAGTCAGGAGGCCCCTCTGGCCTCTTGAACGAGACCCTTTATGCCCTCTCCTGATGGAAGGCTCCCTCTGCACAAGAGGCCCCTTCTGGCAGGACTCTCTCTGGATCCCCTCTGGAAGGAGACCGTCTCTGGGAAAGAGGCCATCTCTGGATAGGAGGCCCCTCTTCACAAGAGGTCCTATCCGGGCAGCGCCTCGCCCTGGCAGGGCATTTTTCATAACGCGGCCTGGCAGAGGGGGGGGGGTCGATGCGACCCCCCTCGCGATTGGATCCTATGGCACCTAGAAATACCAAATTTGGTAGGTAGGTGGCCCTCTTTAAATCCTCGTCCCTGTGCAAATTTGGTTGCTCTAGGTCAATATTTAGGGGTTTTTTGGGAGGTATAATTGTAAAAAAATTTGCTAAAACAGGTCAAAAGTTTTCGCTGATAACTTTTGATTTAATTAACCCGCGCCGGGCAGGTGCTCCGCGACTTCCGCGCCGGGCCGGGGGGGGTGTCTGAAAACCCCCCTTCTAACTCGGCTCCTGGGTCACGTAGCGACACGCGGTAAGCGGCATTCAAAAGAGCGTCCAAAATAAGTACGAAAACACTTCAGTCATTTTTTGGGTCAGGTCAAAGGTCAGGTTACCAGAGGTCACCAAAGGTAAAATGTTGGCTATTTCAACATTTTGGAAACTGCCAACGGCTAACTCGGGAACCGATAGAGCTACAGCGCCGCGGAAAAGCGCATTCGATAGCTCTTTTGACGCTCTTTCGCCAATATGTCCTCAGATTTGACCTCAGGTCAACGGTTTAGCCTCCAGAGGGCAAAAACTCCAAAAATAGCCGTTTTTTACGAACAGTGTTTTTCGGCAATAACTTCTGACTCAAAAAAGCCACGACATTACTTTTGCCAGAATCGTGTTCCTCTTGTCAAAACGCGTCGAATGAACTATAAGTTGACCTTGAAAAGTCAACTTAAAAATTTGACCTCAGGACCTGACCGGAAAAGGTCATGTTGCATATCAGTCGATCCGCATCGTCGAGCCGAACACGGCGTTTTCATCGCTCTATCATGCCTCTATCAGAAGTTATTAGCAAAAAACTGTTAGATACTATTCGTGACCTGAGATGACCTCGGGGACATCTCAGAACGAGGGGTCACACTCCGGGTCACAGGTGCAATTTTCGGGTTCAGTGTGTCCATTTTACCTACATCCCGATGTTTGAGAGTGTCTAGAATGGCGTTCGTGCAAAACAGACGCCTTTCAATTTTCTCCCATTGAATTATAATAGAGAGGCCGCAAAATTGACCTGACCTTAGGTCACCGATATCGAAATTCCGAGATACACGTTTAATAGGTTTTTATACACGCTTTTATAGGATACACGAGATACACTGTTACTCTCATCAATCGCTGAAAGTTTCAAGGCAATCGTGCGGTCGGTGTAGCCATGACGAACATTCTAATTTGTTTCTGACCTGACCTTGAGAGACCTGGGTCTGAAATTTTCACAGCATGTGCGGAAAAGATGCACGAACAGGTGTGTTAAAAACGGCGGCGCGGAGCTGCGAAAAGCCGCCGGGGGGGGGGGGGGGTGTTCAAACACCCCCCGGCCCGGCGCGGGTTAAGATAGAGCAAAACAAAAGCACCAGTGAACTCAGCACGTCAAGGCGTGTCGAATGATATACTTTTTTTGTTTGCTTAAGTGTACTTAAAAGTGTAGGTATTAAAGTGTACTTAAGTGCACAACTTAAGTAAAACTTAAGTCTTAGGAATGGTTGAAATGCTTAATGTTGCATATCATTCGACTCAGCTGTTCAAGAGGAACAGAATGATACCATTTTGAAACCTGTTCTATTATGTGACAAGTTATCGGCACAAACGTCATTTGACCTGAGTTGACCTCATTTGACCTGAACCTTAGATAAGTACACCAAACAAAGAAACACCGAGTGACATTATGTTAAGTACTGTGGTATCAAAGAACAAAAGGGATACAACGAAGCGGACATCTCTATATTTTCCGAATAGGAGTTATTTGAATATTTTCCCATAGGCTTAACATTACGACGTAATGACCCCTAACTGACCTCAGGTCATTGACATAAAAAACGAACTACATATTATACAGCTCGGTGAACTTAGCACATCCTGATAGTTTGAAGGAAATCAGTCCAAAACTGTGCGTTGGACAGGTACATAAAAAATTAAATTTGACCATAACCTTGTACCCGTTTTTCTGACATGGTGGCCTGACCCAAGGTCGACCGGACCTGAAATTTGCAGATCACATGAAAAAAGGTTGCCCCATAGGTTGTGCCAAATTTAGCGGCGTTGCGCGCCGCCAATTTTACGCTATCTTTGAAAAACCTTAGGGGGGGGGGGGGTCGCATCGACCCCCCTGCCAGGGTGAGGGTTAAGCTTTACTAATAACGCTAAGAACGTCACCAAACATACAGAGGCCGTCAAAAAGTAAGCCATTTGGAGGCCCCCTCGATAGAGAAAAGGCCCCCTGGCAAGCGGAACACGGAGGCCCCTTTGAGCCCGGGCCCCCTCCCCTGGAAAATCCTGGGTGCGCCCCTGGTTGTACCTATATAACGCAGACAACCACGTGACATGTAGCTGACCGAGACTGGCATACCCGTAGGATAGGTAGGTATACGCTGTACATACGCGGCCGATCTGTAGCGCCGCAGCTATTTCCCTCCCGTTCTGCCAGTATGGACTCGCCCCTGCGGCTCCGCCCACGCTCATTCAGTTGCGCCGTGTCAGGGGTAATGGGAAGAGGATCGTAGGTAAGAGGTGTACGAGGGTACCTGCGGTAGACAGTGGACACCGGGGCTCGTGGGTCTCTTGAGTCACTATCCTGTCACCACCAGACCACCGAGCAGGCCCATCCTCGCATCACGGAGAGCACCGAGCAACCCATCCTTTCTTCTAAGAGAGCGCCAAGCCAGCCCTAGCGTCGCGGATAACACGTAACAGGGCGGCACAGGGCCCCTCCCGACACAGAGAGCACCGAGCTCTCCCTTCTCTCTCTCTCTCTCTCTCTCTCTCTCTCTCTCTCTCTCTCTCTCTCTCTCTCTCTCTCTCTCTCTCTCTCTCTCTCTCTCTCTCTCCTCTCCTCACGGAGAGCCTGCGCAGCCGGGCCGCACTAATGCTGCTGTTTGGACAGCGTTCCCGCTCGGCAGGCATCCCCGTACACAAGTCAACACGGCCTGCCGACACCGCTGCTGCACGGCTAGCGACCGTCCCAACCGCGACGGTCGGCTCATCCGTCGCCGACGGTTTAATGATTGTCCGTATGAAACGCATAAAGAGACGGATAAAACGGCAGAAATAAAACAATAAGACGGCAGGCCTGAGGTCATCAGGATGGATAAAGGGTTTCACGATGCCACGCAGCACTGATCCCGATGATGTGATTTTGAAAACATGACAGCTGCGAGGGGTCAAAACAGCGTAATCAACAGCCACTCTTCGCCTCTTCGGCGGGAATAAAACTTGCTAGAAACGACATCTGACACGCTTTTCAGTACACTACTGCACCCAGGAGGGGAAAACTCGAAGCACAGGTTCTCACATAGGCCGCAGGTGGCAGCACTACCCGGCCAGCACTGTCTAGCTGGACACTGCACCGGTGCGCCTGCAAAACCAAAGTCCCAGGCCTGAAATTGATTGACTCAGTGAACACTTAGACTTCTAGAGCATAACCAGCTTAAACGGACAAAAGTTTGTCATTCATTAGTGTGAATTAGCGGACGAGGAGTAGGACGTGGCTTTCGACAAATCTGGTTTTCAGAGGGGGAAGCCATCAGGACCTGTCGAGGGAGGCGTGGCTAAGGACCCCCCCCCCCCCCCACACACTGGACCCATGACCAGTGTGCACAAACATAGCGTGCCAAACTGTGAGTGTTACATTGACAGCAGAAAGGAGCAGAGTTTGCGATGTATGTATGGCTTCATGTTTGACGTTAATGAGCTCAGGTCGGGCTTCACGCCGTCAGCCGAGGCAGCTGGAAAGGAGCCAGGTACCTAAATGAAACGACCACTTTATCCATTACACAATGACGACTGCCTTTCTTATATAACGCGATCATCAGACGAGTACAAGATATCTTGGAAGGCTTGCAATAAGCTTTGCTCGCCACGACTTTGGCTAAAGCGATTCATTTTTGAACCAATCCCAATCGAGCCTGAAACTTTATCTGAAATAGCTAATCAAGTCGCAATGAACAGTGAACTGGTCAATTTCTTGGTTGTAACAATGGTCGCGTGCCTCCCGGAAACCCTCCCCTCGTTAGCCCCAAATCACCTCTCGTGACGCCAAGATTACAGCCGTGAGCCACCCAACGTGCTTTCAGACTAAAGCCACACACTGAAAAGCAGCATCCACTGCACTTTTGATAACCGGATTTTGCGGAGACGCCGCCCGGAACAGGTTTATCATTTGAGCTTGCCAGGGCCGTGCGCAGACGCCGTCAGCCACGTCTGCTCTCCGACAGTACCATCTGACGCGCCCTCCCCCCCCCCCCCGTCCGATCGGGCTCGCGGCGCTTCCGTTCAGTGCGTCTGTCTGGCCCCTGTACTGCCGATATAGGGCCACTTCCGCCCAACTGCAGCGCCGGATTGCGGTACGTCGGCCAGCCGGGCTCCCAGCTGGATAAACGGACGGGGGGGGGGGGGCACGGCGCTCTACGGAGCAGCGACAGGGCGAGGGAACGCAGCCCCGCACAGACCCGCTGCGTGAGTACCGTGCGTGCTTTTTCCTTATCTGTCTCCGTACAAACACATACAGAGATGCTGACTCAGCTCCTCAGCGATTATTCTGACGCTCTATCTCTCCCCACCGTCTCTTCTCCGGCAGGTCTGCCCGCCTCCCAAGTGAGGAGGGCTGGACGCGCCTCTGCGCCAGTGTATCGCGCCCGGCCGGTCCGCCGCCGGGCTGTGTAAGCACGGGGGCCGCAGACGGGGCCCGGGGGTCTGCGTGGCGCGAGCTGGGAGAGACGACACCGCGGCCCGGGCAGCAGCCAGGTCAGGGACGGTCACTGGACAGACGGCGACCGCACACAGGTGAGAGCAACACGGCGGGGAGGGACAACGTCATCCTTTTAGTGCCCACTTCAGCCTAATTATTGCTAATTCAGGTGATATACACAGACAGTTTTGTTCCCACTGTGCAGCGTTTCCCCCTTTTATTCCTATACCTTTCGGTTCGGTATGCTATGTCCGAGTCCGTCTAAATTTGTTCCCGAGTTCGTTGCTAGGGCCGTTACCAAAAGTTGGCTTCTGGCAGCTCCGCTAGGATCGTAATTCGTAACATAAGCAGTGTAGACGGGTTGGCTGGCTGAGGGCGGTGTCCGCGGATGGTGTTCGACTGCAGTCGTGTTTAAACATTCGAACGATTCCACCGCCACTGAAATGCACAGCTCCGCGCTCCTGCAGCAGCAAATACTGTTAGGAAGCCGCGACTGTTCCCGGGCCGGCCAGTGTCGTCTGTGGACATTGCACAGATCAGCTAATAAAAAGGCTGACCTTTGGTGTCGCAGGGCGCAAACACAGCCTTTTTGCTGAGCTGCATCCCCTTCACCATTAATTACACAGGAGACTGAGCTAGATTGGATATTGTATACCTACTGAGCGAATCGAGCCATTCCCGGCCAACACTGGTGGACCCGTGAGGGAGCGACTGTACTGTTTGTTTTGGTTTACGGTAGCGCTGATACCGAGGTCAGGATGAGCTCGGTTGACCTAACACGACCCACTTAATTTGCTCCAGCAGTCCAACAGTACGTTCAACGATCACGTAAGGGCCTAATCTCAGCATTCCACAATGCTACCTCAGGCACTTATAAGTTGTAACGTCATGGCGGAACCGCTCGAGCCAAATGTCACGCGCATGCATGTAACAACACCTGTCGCACTCAAAACACGCACAGGGAAACGCTCATAATCACAATCACGCAGGCGCGATCATTGCACAGGCACGCGCCTTCGCTGCACGACAGTAGCGTATCTGATGACGTGTTGACTGGAGGAGCGTCTCACGTCGCCAGCCTTTGTACCGCTGAGTTTCGTAGCTTTCAACAGAAAACAAGTGAGGTGGCTTGCTTGACGCGAGTACGCGCCTGTTTCAGGGCACCGTCATGGGACGCGTCACCGCACGGCTGGCCGCGCTGTGCGCCGTGGTCTGCGCGGTGGGCACCGACCCTCAGGTCACCACCCACTCCGGCGAGCTCAGCGGAGCCACGCTCAAGTCGTTCCTCGGCAAACCCTTCTCGTCCTTCAGAGGTAAGGGCAACGGTTAAAATGCTTCGCCAATCGCCACTGCTGCTACTCATGTATACGTCCGAGTTCATTCTACGTCGAGCTCAGATCAATGCCTTTCATGAACGATGGCTCATGATCACTAATCAGTATTATGAAACGATGGAAACTCTCGACGACTTACATAAATTCTGGTTTACTTTCTTGACAGGCATTCCGTACGCCGAGCCGCCTCTGGGCGAGATGCGGTTCCGCGCGCCGCAGCCGCACCGCGGCTGGTCGGGCGTGCGAAAGGCCAAGATGCACGGCAACAAGTGCCTGCAGTTCTCGCTGTTCTCGCCGGGCCTGCTGGAGGGCGCCGAGGACTGTCTGTTCCTGAACGTGTACACGCCGCGCCTGCCCGGGGACGGGCCCGACACGCCCCTGCCGGTGATGGTGTGGATCCACGGCGGCGGCTTCGTCACCGGCTCGGGCGACTTTGAGGTGCACGGACCCGACTACATCATGGATGAGGAGGTGGTACTGGTGACGCTCAACTACCGGCTCGGACCGCTCGGGTTCCTCACCACCGGAGACGCGGCGGCGCCGGGCAACTACGGCCTGCTCGACCAGGTGCTGGCGCTCGAGTGGGTACAGGCCAACATCGCCGCGTTCGGCGGCGACCCTGACCAGGTCACCGTCTTCGGCGAGTCGGCCGGAGGGGCCAGTGTCGGCCTGCACGTGCTCAGCCCGCGCTCCCGCGGCCTGTTCGCGCGCGCCATTAGCCAGTCGGGCGCCGCGTTCAGCGCGTTCGCGGCCAGCGGCGAGCCTCAGGGGCAGAACGCCAGGAAGCACGCCGAGCTGCTCCAGTGTCCCACGGGCGACAGCCGAGAGCTGGTCGGCTGCGTTCGTCAGAAGTCCGCCAAGGAGATTTTCAACACCATGGGCACGCTGCTGAAGGAGGACAATGTCGCAGTGTTGCCAATCCTCTACAAGCCGCGGGTGGACCGCGAGTCGCGACTGCCGTTCCTCCCCAACGATCCCTACTCGGCACTGGAGAGCGGCGACTTCAACGCGGTGCCGTGGATGATGGGTCTGAACCAGGACGAGGGCGCCTTCTACTCGTTCGCGCTGCGGAACAAGCCGGACGGCGTCCAAGTGTACACGGGCCGCGACTGGGACCGCTGGGCCTCCTCCATCATCCAGGTCGGCGGCGTCACCGCCGAGCCGGCCGCCATGGCCGAGCGGGTGCACCGGTTCTACTTTGACGGCGCCGACTGCGGCGAGGAGAACCTGCCGCTGCTGGGCGACCTGCTCGGCGACCGGTTCTTCACCAGCAGCGTCATCTCTGAGGCGGACCTGGCCGCCGCGCACACCCCCGTCTACATGTACCTGCTGGACTACACGGGCGCCGGCCGGCAGCGGGTGCTCCAGGTACTGGCCCGCGTCAGCGGCAAGCCGTCCTCCTACCGCGACCTGGGCGTGCCGCACGCCGAGGACCTGCTCTACCTCTTCCGACAGGCGTTCGGACCTCCCGTGGCGCCCGACTCGGAGGAGCACAAGATGATCCGCTTCATGGTGTCCATCTGGACCAGCTTCGCCCGCCAGGGGCACCCGGCCAGTGACGTGCTGCCGATGCCGAAGTGGCCCCTCTACACCAAGAGCCAACGGGAACACATGCGGCTAAACGACGCGCCCAGCGTGGGCCAGAACCTGTTCAGTAAGCGAGTTCAGTTCTGGAAACAGCTGGATATCCGAGAGAACTGGCGAATGCCGCTGCTGAATAGCCAATATCGAGATGAGCTCTGATTAGCTGATATTAGGTCCAGTGTTATGGCGAGATGGGGTTGGGGCGTTTGTGCCATGAAGTGTGCCGTTTTCCAATGCGTGTTGTTTCGTTCATATTGATTTATATAACGTCCTAGTCCCCAGGTTGGTCTATAAATGCTGTATGCAATTCAATAAAACTCCAGTGCGCTGCTATACTTATACCTCAGCGGATACACAATTTGTTGTCAATATACATGCAGCGTAGGGGAGAGTGGGGTAATTTGGCCGCTTTTTTTAGAAACCGATGTAACTAAAAATCGACAACACATTTCTGCATTTTCTCAACGCTGACAGGTGTGGCATACATTTTACTTTCCTGGACAGTAAACTTGAAATGATAGAGTAACTACTTATATTGAAATTGTGACGTATTACAAAGGTCTGCAAAGCGGCCAAATTGCCCCACTAGCAGGGTTATTTGGCCGGGGGTGTGGGGCAATTTGGCCGGTGTTAGTTTGAGGCCATGATTTTTGTTATAGGCGAGTCAGCTTCACATCCAGCAATGACGCATGTCCTACGACGCATTTGAAGCATTTTGGAGGTTGACTCAGCCGTCACAGAGGTCGAAAATAGTCAAAATAGCGGCTCTAGATGCGATGACAGTTTTCTACGAATAGCTTTTGAAGTAATCAAGCTAGGCCAAAACTAAAAGTACCATCGTAATTCTCTTGTCATTCCGCATCGAAACATGTATGTGTTGACCTCAAGAGGTCAAGGTCAAAGGTTGGCTTCAGGTCACGTTACCTCAGGTCGCTTGACCTCAAGGTTGCGTGAGTTCAAGGTCATCATGTATATCATTCGATGCGCCTTGACGAGCTGAACACAATGAGACCATTTGCGCGGCTGTATCTTTTTTCTGTAAGTAGTTATTAGCAAAAAAGCGTTAGGTAACCTTTGATGACGTCACATGCCCTTACAGCTGTTCAATAGGAAATATGGCATCAAGGTAGTCAAAGTTGGCCATGAATTATGTTCTTTATGGTAAAATTGACCATGACAACTCGGCCGTCCCAGCATAGTGACTCTGAGCGCACCGGCCAAGTTGCCCCGCTAGTCCCGGCCAAATAACCCCACATTGCCATTCTGAATTTTTTTGTCTATAAAGTCGTCATGCCTGTACAGAACTAGATGAAATTGCTCTTGGAACCGCTGAACACGCTCAAGAATGGCGCTATAATGTCTGAATTCGTTTTTAGCCCAAATACTACATGTTATACAACTTTGTAAATAGAAGCAAAAGTTACCGTTTTCTAATGAAATTAACGTTTTATTAATTTTGAATAAAACTGCGAGGTGCAACGTTTTGACATTTGTTCTCGAATTAGTTCTGCCGATGACAAATGAATAGAGACTAAAGTTATTTCATTTACTTTTATCAGCTTTCGTACAGGTGGGGGCGGCCAATTTACACTACCGGCCAAATTACCCCACTCTCCCCTACCCAATTAATGTTCCCTGGACGCATTGTGCTCCAAACTTGCCCACAAACCTTCGAGCCTGTGTGTTTTGGGCGAAAGGGGCTGTCGACCGCCGGCTCCTACCAGCAAGTTGTCAAACAGCCGGCGAACGAACTGATCCTACCCTTTTCCAATCAGTCGACCGCGCGCGAGCGCAGGGGCCCAGCAGGGCGGATGAGTGTGAAACGGGTGAGTGACCAGTCCGAATGCCAGAACTTAGAAAGTGGAACTATCAGATCTATTTTTTTTTTATGTGTTCGTGTCCTGTGCCGACCGGTGCAGCAGCATGGGAAAGGTTCGAGCTGTTTCGGGGGTCCCTTTCCTACTGATAAAATGATGTGCCGATCACAGGCAGTGGTAGTGTTCCTGTCAGGAAGAAGACGAGCTCCGATGAGGCCCGATTGTTATGGTTCGATTTCCACCACATCAACCCACCACCCGTCGCCCTGGCCAAAAACTGAAACAGCTGGCGTCCGTGTGTCCGATGTATTGTCGCAGACATGAAGTGAATGCGGTTACCAGCCTAGCTGATGCGTTGCGGGATAAAATTGCCACCCACTCCTACAGACGAAGCGGCGAGTGGGAATACAGCGGAACAGAAACTGCCGGCTCGATGAAGTCGGCGGGCGTAAAACGGGACAACGTCGCGGAGATGACTTACAGAGAGGCAGGCGGCACTCATACACCAATATGTACAGCAATTCGCGTCCGACCACCGGACAGCGCGCACCGAACACAGCACACACACACACACATGAGACACTGTCGCAGCTGAATCGTAATGGGAACCAACGAGAACAGAAAGCCCCTCGTTTTTGCAACTGCGCTATTCAGAACTAGGGGGATTTCACTGCTCCAAACCATTAACCCAATACAAGGGACTTTTTCTAATACTCGTTTTTGAAGGATGGTAATGTTGTATGATTTATACCAAAAGTGAAAGCTAATATGATCTGGGCTCAGATGGAATGGCCCGCCCTGGGGCAGTCTTACTGCCGCGTCCGGGGTCGCTGGGTGTGGACGTGTCGACCCGTCTCTGGCGTCGCTCCCTGCTCCTGCGGTGAGATCAGCTGGCGGCGCCACTGGCGAGCCCGGTGTCGCTGGTCGCTGGCGGCCGCCGGCTCCGCACTGGTGGTGGCGCGGCCGCCCGGCTACCACTGCTCGCCGTACGAGTCCGAGTAGAAGTCGTGGCTCGCCCGGCCCCGGTAGCCGTTATTGTGCAGTGGCTGCTGCGGTATGGGGTTGGTGCCCCAGTTGCCGTTTGGCTGGCGCCGCTTATATTCCCCCTGGTTCTGATGTCCGCCGTCGAACTTCCTCTTACCTGAAACACGGAGATACATGACAGTCAGCTTCCGGCAACGGCGGCAACAAAAAACCATTCAGCTGTTATTGGCGGATGGCTATAAAATACAAAACACTAAAAAATGTCACCATTTTGATGCAAAACGAACTTAGTGCTAACTTTTAATGCCTGTGTCAATTAAGTCGTACGTTGAATTATAACTAAACGAATAGCAGTTCAAACAATGGTCACTGGCTGCAGAGACGGGACCGTATGGCGTCGTCACCCACCTGGTAAGCCGGCTCCCCTGGCGGCCCCTCTGGGCGCCCCACGGCTGCGCATACCCCTGGCCGCTCCACGCCCAGCCGCCATACCCCTCGCCGAAGGGCTCCCACGCGCCGCCGGCGGGCCACCGCCGCGGCCACGCATGGCCGTAGCCCCACGCGACCGGCCAGCCTGCAACAGCGCGGCACCAGCACCTCGGTCAGGTCCGTGTCTCGGGGAGCGCCGCGCGCGCGCACACCCGTCACATGAGCCTCTGCTGGTGGGGCCGAGGACCGGGGAACGGACAGCGGCACCATGACTGGCGATGCCAATTTCGATACATGCCAACGGCGCCAGGCTCACAATTACCCATCCAGAGTGACAAAACAATAATTAAACGAACAATAACATGCTTTCATTGATGCAAAAGTAATTAGGATGCCGACCAAGAAGTTGAAACTGAACTAGGACAGAACATCACAATTTGTCTAAAACTACACAGCTCGCTAGAATTTAGGATTAATTTGGTAGCAGGCCAAAAAGTAGAGACACCCACCATTGGAGGCTTGCCCCTTCCTCTGGGAGCTGGAGCGCTGGCCGGATAATCGTAATAATAATCGTCGTTAGAGTACTCGTCGTAATAGGGGTCGCTGTAGCCACCGCGATAATCTCCGTATCCGTACATGTCGTAATCGTAATCGTAATCGACATCTAGAAAGATCAAGACCAAACGTCACCAGAAGTCTGTGAGGCGAGACGGACACCAATTTTGTTTGACAAAGTAGGAGCGCATGTTATCCGAGATTTGGAAAAGGACAAAGAGGGGCCAGAAAAGCCAGTCATAGTGTGTGCTCGATAGTGAGGAGCAGGAGTTGGAAGGAGGGCGGCTCTCACCGTAGCTGGCGGCGGCCGCGGACGGCGGTGGTGCATCTGGAAGAAAGTGTCCGCGAGGTTCAGGTAGGACCGACGCTGGTGGATCTCAGGAGCAGGAGAGGAACAGGCAGATACGATGCTACATGTATTTCATCACTTGAACTTGGAATCGGCACAAATGCTTAACAGTTGTCAATCATTTTGAACAAGGCACAGACGTTCGCATGCAGTAATGGCAGACGGCTATTCACAGCGGCCCGCACCGCCTGTTTCCTGTCATTCAGTGCAGAATTACGTGACGAACCATCAGATTACAACAGTCCAACGAGCGCACAGCTGACGACACATTGTGATCACAATGTCGATTCACGGGAGATCGATAGAGGCATATTGGGTCGGCTCATACACACACATATCACACAGGTCACAGCGGCGTCTAGTAATAGAGGAGGCCGTCAGTGAAGTACTCGTACCCGGGGAACTTACCATAGTCGCCACGGCCCATCGGCGGCCGGCCGCCACCCATACCGCCGCCACGGCCGTAGCCGCGCTGGCCACTGAAACCCGGAGAGAACGCCGGGAACCTGCAACAACCGCCACACGTAATGAATCGATGAAAGCAAGAAAAAAAAAGAAAAAAAGAGCTAACTTAGAACATGGCATCGATTACCAGTAGGGCAATTTAACACTAGATCACACGTCTCGTGAGTCGCCTTTAATGAGAAATAGTAAATGTGGCCTAATTTAGCAGTGTCAGGACGATCAGCTCGATCTTTATTTCCACTTTAGCCAAGATTCCATCCTAACAATGACTGAGCGTGCACCCTCGATCGGCTCACCCTCGCTGGGACATCATGCCCATCATCCTCTTCTCCCGGTTCCTGAGCATCTCCTCCTTCTTCTTCTTGTCCGAGGGCGGCTTGGCCAGCGACACGTCGATCTTGGAGCCGCAGAGCTCCGTCTGATTGAGAGCCTCCATGGCCTGAGAGCAGACACACCGGCCAGTCAACAGCCGAAATCGGGCCACTGTTCACTCGACACACGGAAGGAAAACAGACCGCCGCGAACACACAGGGGGAAAAACTGACACCATACCCCAAACAAATACCAAACGTGATATCAGTATTAAAAGACCAGAAACTTAGCACAGGTTCCACGTCTTTGCCGCCGGTGGATAAAGCGACAATGAGGAGAATGCACAATAAGCATGGAGGAAAATTAGTAGCCTTTGGTGACACAGCCTGTCTCCCGCCCACACCCACCTTCAAGGCGTTTTCCCTCTCCTCGAAGTGGATGAACGCGTAGTCCTTGATCTTCTTCACCCTCTCGATTTTGCCGTGGACCTCGAAAGCCTCTTTGAGTTTCTCCTCGGTGCAGTCCGAGGTGAGGTTGCGGGCGTAGAGAACCTTGACCTGGAGTGAACAAAAATGGTAAATAACGGTAACATAAAACCACCCTATCCTAGGTTTGTTCGTATTGGCACAGTTAAAAATATGAATTTACAGGTAAGCATGCCACAGCCACGATGCAGCTGAGGGACGAGCTCAGGCCGGCGATAGCTGCAGTCTACATCTGATCGGAAATCCGGGCCTTCAACGTCACGATGGCGCGCGGCTCAGTCAGCACACCGTACCTTGGCCATGGTCTCCTTGTCGGGCTCCTCCTGCGGGTCGGCCCAGTCGACGATGACGTCACAGCTCCAGACCTTGACGCGGCCGCTGCCCAGGCGCCGCTTGGCCAGCGAGGCCGCCTTGTGCGTCTCGTACTCGAGGAAGCAGAAGCCGCGGTTCTTCTTCTTGTCATCGGGAGAGCTGTAGATGATGACATCCACCAGACCCTCTGCGGCAGCGCAGCAGGTTAGCCAGGAGCTGCCGCTCGGCGGCACGGGTCCGAACCAGAAAAACATACAGACAAACGGCGGTACATTGGCAAACCAGCATCGGATGAGACTCCCGCGTCTTTCACACAAATTAGGCCTTCATGAAATTAATATAGTTTGCATCCCGCAAGACCGTAATATAATTCAAATTGTACAAAAACAAACCGCATACACTGTATGATTGACATCACACTCGGCAGTCGACCACATTTGCTGACAATCATGACAATATTTGACAAGTATTTTGACAAAAATTTATACTATGCGCGCCTCTCACAAGCAAAAAGCAGCCGACGGTTCATGGCCTTAAAACACCGCCGGCACAATAAACAGGAGCAGTTGATTAGGGGCAAGGGACAGCTGCCGCCACCACAGCCAAACCACAAGGCTTTTTGATGACCAGACATCAGTCACTGACATACCAATTTTAGTGGCACTGTCCACAATGATAAATTTACCTGTATGTTTGCCAAACTCTTCCAGGATCTCCTCTTTGCCCTTAGATTTTGGAATGTTTCCGACAAAAAGGCGCAGATTGGGAACACTGATATTTACTTTCAGTGTCTTCCCCTTTTTGATCTCGTAATTGTCGAGCTGTGGAATGAGACATGCCAAAGAATCAATGAAACACACAGAAATGTTCACAGAGTATTTACGATCCGCCCATTTTGCCCCGTTCCTTCCGACCGGTCACCTGCAGGGAGAATATGTCAGCCGACGCCGGCAAAGAGAAGATCCGGCACGGGAAAATCAAACCCAGCAAAACCGGTCATTTTCGAATGGGGCTGTCAGCATCACGTGTAAACCCATTAACTCGGAAAATCAGCAATTAAATTTAGACAAACTCGGAAATTCAACAATCAAATTTAGACAAATATCTACATGACAACGAAATATTTCATCTTTCGTTCTCTTGAACCGGTTTATATGTAATAACTTGTGTAATACCTGTTTGACTGCCTCTCTGGCACCCTCCTCGTTGGTAAAGGTGACGAAGGCGTAGCCCCTGTTCTGGCCGCTCATGGGGTCCATCATCAGGCGCAGGTCCCAGATGTCGCCGCATTTCTCAAACAGAGGAATCAGCTCATCTTCGAACAGCTCCTTGGGGATTTTGCCGACGAAGGCCTCGCAGCCGGAGCCGGGCTGTTTGCCCTCCCAGTTGGGCGGCGGGCCGCCGTACTTCCTCTGGCCGGTGGTCACGTCCAGCGAGAACCCGGTCCGGTCCAGAATCGCCTTGATCTTCTCTTCGTTCGGCCCATGGCCCGACTGGTGTGCCGGACCTGCAACACAGCACGGCATGAGTGATCGCAGGACGCAGACCAAAATAGCCGCCGTGTTGAACCCAGTTCGAGTAGGATACAGACGCGAGTTCGATCATGGTTTCCATTTGATCTGGACTTTTGGGAGGAATGTCTACCGTTAAATGAAAGTGAATTTTTAATTGTCTCCCACAATTCGCGTCGACGGCAGAGGTCATATCGCGCCCACAGTTACAAGAGTGACAATCGTAAATGAGTTCGACCCAGTTTTGAGGCAAGTGAGAATGCATCGTTAAAAGTAGATATGACAGAGTTGGCTGCGGCTAGGAATAGGGTCTAAAAGCTATCCCAATTTTTGACCTTATACACAGTGCTCGGTCATTTAGCGGATCCCGTAACTCAGTCGGTAGAGCTGATTGGACTCCGTGTGGTGAGAGCATGCGTCCCGGGCAAAAAGTCCGGGGTTTGAGGCGCGACGGGCGTTCGGTGTTCATGCGTAGCCAGCTAAAGTCAGTGATGAGACCGTCGGAGGTGCGCAGCTTTGTGCGTACGGTTAACTCCGGACTCTTAAATTCAACTCCCCCCACCGGGTGGGGGGGGGGGGGGAGAGGGGGTCGCCACTGTTTTTATTCTGTGTCATTTAGCATTTCTTTAAATTTTTTGTGTAACTGCCGTGTTTTTATGCTCTTACTGTAAACTTGACACTTGACCCGAAAAGCCGTGGACATGCGGAGATCACACGAAATAAATGATGATGATGATGAACTGTGGACCCGACTGCGCGACCGGAGGGTGGAGCGCAGCACCAACGCGACAAGCTCTGCTTGGCGAGGCTCTGCCATTGTGAATCATTCCATTCAAAAGGTTCGGACTGAATTGATAAAAAACCTGCTCAAAATAAGCATTTGAGCCGGCATGTAGCATGACGTGAAGTGACCCGTTACGACCTGCGAAGCATTACAAAGTGAGCTAAAAAAAGCCATAGCATAGCACGTTTTGGGAATTCGACAGAAAACACAGGAGCTTGCGGACGTGAAAACGACTCGGCTACAGGGCGGGGTGTTGGGGTTGTTGCTCACTGAGTACTTAACTTCGCTATGGCATCAGGTCAAGGTCAGGTCAAAGCAGCTCAGGTTAGGTAGTTGTTAATCTAATGTAACTTAGCAAAGGTCATGTAGCACACTACTTGATTCGGTAGCTCAACCAGAGTTCATAAATGTCTTTCCTGACTCTCATAAATTAGGAAGGAAGTTAGGGTCTTGGAAGGAGAGTTTGAATCACAGTCCCTAAAGAGGCCATAGTGAGCCCTGCACGTGTGAACTTTAATAGGGGTAATTTCAATTGACTTGTGCACGGCACCCAAACAACGGGTCTCTAGCGGTGTGCCAAATTTCAAGCGTAATCGGCCTAGCCATTCTTCAGATGTGGAAGCGACACGCGGTACGTGCGCACGTGCAAAACTGCAAACTGGGTCCTGACTGACCTGCACTGCACGACACTTTACCCGCCGGTCCCTAACCGCATACCGAATTTGAGCGCAATCGACCCAGTCGATACCTGGAAACGACCCCTGCTTGTGGGCATGTGCAGTAGCACCCTAACCCTAACATATGAAAATGGTTACATTGCCCAGTGGGTGCTTACATACATGCCAAGTTTTAGCGCAACAGGCCCATGAGTAGTTGCAGAGTTGTAATTGCGACGAAACGGACCTCTTCGTTTTGCACGACGTGGTAGGTGCAGCAGGAGTCACCCACATACATAGGAAACTAAACTGTCATATATTTGGTAGAAGGGATAAGGTACACCCAACAAAAGGCTGCAACCCAATCGGTCTATGTCTATGTATGGTCCAGTCAGTCACAGTGATGCCGAGATATAAGCCTTTCAGAAGCCTGATAAAGGCCAGCCGACCGCACCGATACACGGTCGGTACGACGTTGTCATTGAACCCGACAGAGGGAGGGCTGCTAAGCTTAGGGCTGTTCGGGTCCCTGCAGCATAGATCTGTGCTGCGTGCGCCATACTTGGGTGACGTCAACCGCCTGGCTCCGCCCACTCTCCGCCGGCACGCCGCGGCCGAGCGTCGCTGCAGCCTATTTCAAACGCGGCGAACCGTTGCGCGGGTGGACTGGTGATTGTCGCTCAAATAACGTTCAAATTGCGTTCAAATGTGGTTAATAGCTGCAATGTGCCACAGAAAAGTGATAATTATACAAAAAAAAAAACAGCATACAAACTGCTTACAATAAGAAATATCGGACGGTAAACTTTAATCCGCGCCACTTTCGCCTCCTGCAGCTCCGAATTTACTGCTGCAGGAAAACGAAGTATGCTTCAGTAGGTGACGTCACACAGGCGGTGACGCAGTGGTGTGGGCGGGACTAACGGGAGCCGTAGCTCCCACTGCGCATGCGTGCTGCAGCATATTTCATTTTGGCTGCGCAGCCGAACAGCCCTCTTCAGTCACTGAGATTCATGAAACTGGGGATGGATGAGGATTGCAAGGTGAGAAATAAGTGTGCCGAATAGTTTTTTTTTTGTCATTGGTTCACCGGTACTTCCTTTCTGCATGTACCGATACTCTGAAGTGCGACTATACCTACAATTGGATACCATCTGACTTCTCTTCGTCACGGGAAATACGAAGCTCCAGCTCACCATAACCTCTATACGATAGCTACTGTCAAGATACCCCGAGGGCGAGTGTTGCTTACCTTGCGCTTTGCTCTTTTGACGATATGTCTTCATGACACCACACAGGTAGGCTGACTTGTTTGAAACATGCTCTAGATTCGATTCCATGAACTGCTTCAGAACTGTGAGCGCCCCATCCACAGGGAACTCCTTGAGAGCATCCAGCGCACGCTCGTCCAGATCAGCATGGAGTAGCTTTTCTGAAAACAAATTATTGAATGAAACATCACACAAAAGGTGGGTACTTTCAAAAACAATAGGTAGGTACTTGCAAACACAATAAGGTGGAAGCTATAACCAAGTGTGCGTTCGGACAGGCCGTTTTCCGCGTGAATTTTCCACGCTCAGGAATTCCTCGCGGAAACGGCGTTCGGGTGCGTGGCGCGAAACACGTGGAATCCCGCGAAACGATGAGAAAAGCTGCGAGCATGTCGCGCCCGTTTTTCAAGATGGCGGCCGTCATGGAAATTATATCTATGTATGTTGTTACATGTTATATTTATGTATATGATAAACAATATGCGTTTTTTCTTGTCAAACTTTTATTAGGTTCTATTATAAGCTGTTAACAACTGATGAGTAATTTTACATGGTTTTCGTTTTGCTATGATATAAGTGGACGCAAAATAAATTGTTTTTTAAATCATAAGTACATAAAAAATAAATTGTAACTGACAAATTAATATTTAATTTGGAACATGTAAACGCGCAGTATGATATGGGGCGCCAGTTTTTACGCACTTTCCGCGGAAAGCCTACCCGAACGGTCCGAGGAATATTTCCCGACGGAGAAAAAAAAAACGGTCAGTCCAAACGCAGCTCAAAACTGGTCCCGTAACTCAGTCGGTGACTCGGTAGAGCGTTGGACTCCGCGTGGTGAGAGCACGCCTTCCCGGTAATGACAACCCGGGTTCGAAGCGCGACCGCAAAGGGCGCTTGACGTTTGTAAGCCTCCTGACAGGTATGGTGGCGGTTGGTGGCAGGCCGTAGCCAGGCGAGGTCAGTGAGGGGACCAGCCGTGCGTGGCTATGCGAGCACGTTAAACTTTGGACTCCAAATTCTGCCATAGAACTGAATTACGCGATCGGAGGGCAGAGGGCAGGATCAACGTAAGAAGCTTTGCTTAGCGGGGACTCTGTATCCGTTCAAAATGTTCAAAATGACTAAATTTATAGAAGAAAAAAAAAATGGGCACATGCAATGCATACAAATACCTCTGTAAGCCAATGGGTAGAAAATAGACAAAACATGCAACAGGCAGAAATGCCAACATAATTAATACTTTGTACATAAACAAGCAGCCAGGTAGTTCAACTTTGCTGATTGCACAGCTCGCTCAGACAAGTTTTTTTTTAGGGGGGAGGGTATCTAGAACTGCAAACTCAAGGTGCTAAGAGCTCACCTGTCTTGTAGATCTCATCAAGCTTCACTGCAACTTTTTCACTCAGACCCAGGTCAATTAATTTTTGGAAGTCTGGAGATCTTCCCTCAGTACTCTCTGGCTCCTCTTTCTTGACAACAGCATCTCCATTTCCTTCTGCCATGGCACTATGTCCTGAAATGCATATAATCGATCATGATTATCAACACAATGTTGGCAAGAATCAGCACACTAGTAATCAGGGTCCCTAGCTTAATAAAGAATCAGATGCATCCAGTGCATCCTAACAGCATGAAAATATCACATAACAAAAACAAAAATTGAGATGGTTTGAGCACCAGCTTAATGTTCTCCCAGTACATAATAATGGAAAGATTGCTGAAGTAACCTCACCTTAGGTCAATGATATCAAAATGCCAAGATATAGTTGTTGGCTAGCTTGGTATATACCACATGCCAAAGCCTAAGTTAGAAAGTTAGCCTTTTGTGAGCTGATGTCAGAATTTGAATTCACATACACTGAGAAAAAAAATATTGCCCAGGGGGGTTTTACGGGTGTCAGACACCATTGGAGGTGTCATCGAACACCCAGATTGGTGTTGAAAAATGCTGTTTAGGGAATCATTCAGGTGTACAACACCACGATGACACCCTTTCAAGTGTTCGTTCGCATGCGAGCGTTTAGATATACCTGAATGGGATTCAGCATGACACCTTAATAGGTGTCCGACACCCACACCCATCCGGGTATCAAACACTCTAAGGTATCAAACACCCTAAAAGGTGTCAAAAATGTTCTTTTAAAAGCATCTGACACCCTTATGATGCCTTCACAAGTGTTGCCATTTATTGAGATGGAATGTTTAAAGTGTCCCGACACTGCTAGAGGTGTCACATTGACACTTGCAAAAGGATCTGACACCAAAAACAGCATGAAAAAATGAAGAAAAATATTCCCATGGGGTGTCTCACGGGTGTCGGACATCATTGCAGTGTCATTACGAGCGAGCGAGCGCAGCGAGCGATTTGAGTCTTTTCAATGTAACGGAAAAATCTCAGTATGAGCGGCCCGGCCCGGCCTGTAACGCTTTTGAGAGGCTTATATCTCAGCAACCGCTGGACCGATTGGCCTGCGGTCTTTTTGTTGGGTAGCCCCATCCCTTCTACCCCGTAATTGACTACTTTTGATACATCTTAGTGACCGTCGTGGCACGTGCCACGTGAAAAGTCAAGGGTGTTCAAGCTGTTTTGCAAAAGTAGTGATTTTGAGAGGCTCATATCTCAGCAGCCGCTTGGATGATTAACTTGCGGTAATTTTTGTAGGGTAGCAGCATCCCTTCTACCCAAAATAGGATACTCTCGATGCATGTGGGTCACCCCCAGTGCACGTGCAAAATACAACAATAAGAGGTGCCAAATTTGTTCCCATTTCAGTAACTCGGTAATTACTGGGGCGATTTTTCTGAAACTTGGCATACAGGTAGGCACCCACCAGGCAATGCATTCTCATGTGTTGCGGTTAGGGTGCTACTGCACGTGCGCACGTGCAGGGGGCGTTTCCAGATCTCGAGAACGGCTGGGCCGATTGCGCTCAAATTTGGTACACGGTTGGGGACCAGTTAGTAGGGTGCAGTGCAAAAGTCATTTTGGACCCTGATTGCACGTGCGCACGTGCAGAATGCCGCTTCCAGATCGCAGGAACGGCTGGGCCGATTGCGTTCAAATCTGGCACACCACTAGCGACCAGTTAGAAGGGTGCTTTGCGCAAGCCCGTTGGAAGCACCCTCTCGCCCTTCCGCACGTGCAGGGCTCACTATCTCGCTCGCTCGTTCTTCGCCCAAAAGGCATTTTACTGGTTATAACGCCCTGATTGGTGTCAAAAATGTTGTTTTGGGAATCATGGAAGTGTACAACACCACGATGATAACCTTCAAGTGCAACGCGCTTTTAAACACACCATGATGGGATTCAGAAAGACACATTAATGGATGTCCTACACCGACATCCATTCGGGTGTCAAACACCCTAAACCATCAACACTTCAAAAGGTGTAAAAAATGTTCCTTAAAAGGGATCTGATACCCCTGTGATACCTTCACGTGTGTTGTCATTTGTTGAGGAACATTCCAGAGTCATGAAATGTTCGAAAGCTGTCAAGTATTCAAACCCAAATCATTACATAAATTGTTCTGACGTCACTTGTGTTAGGAACCAAGGATGCAGTGTCTAACGGATTTTCAGTGACTCGGACTCCCGCTCTGTCTTCCAAAATGGACTCCTATTCCGGCCAGAACTGCCAACTTTATCAGACTCCGACTCTGACTCCGTAGCACTGCTAGAAACCACAGCAGGTCCAGTGGTTTGAATCATTACCCAATCAGCAAGCTGCATTGTGTGACGTCATTTGTGTGCTGGTCACGGCGTCAACCATGCGAAGATAAAAAGCGCCACTTTGCAGGAAAGCCGTTAGATTTCAGTTGGCGGCGGCGTGGCCACGTGGTGCATGTGCGGTGTGAGTGATGGCAGGGCTTTTTTGAATTTATGTGGATATAGTGGCGCCGAACGTTGTTCGCAGTGTACTTCTTCAAGTGATTGTGCGTTAATGATAATGTTTAGCTTTTATTTGTAGCTTGCTCCGTGTTTATTCAAATGACAAGGCGGGCGGTACTCGGTGAAATTTGAAGTCTGGAGTGAGGATGACAACACAGCATTGCACCATGGAAACGAAAGCAAGTGAACTGCGGAATAACATCTGGTTGGAGATAATCGACGGTTAATTATCATTGTTGAAATGCGAGCAACTTCTCACTGTGAATGGACTCGATGTGTTTCGATGAGTTTTCATTGGATTTCTCCATAAATATAGAGCCCATATTTTTTGTACTTTATAGTTTGTTGCTGTATACAAGATAGGAATGCCATGTATGTATGCGATATGCCTGTTTTGCAATACATGTAAGAATGTGTCGACACCTTTTTTGGCATCCAATGGACACTCTCGTAACACCTTTAAGGGTGTGTACCAAACTGCACCTCGCTGGGGTGTCAGACGGGTGTCACTTTTGACACCAATACAGGTGTCATTGGGAATCAAACACCGGGTGTCTGACACCCTTTTGGGTATCAGTGTTCCATTTTTCAGACTTTTTGGTGGCAAATCACACCTAATGGGGAAAATACTTTCATCCCTAAAACATGAATGACCAACTTTACTTCATCTCTGAAAAAAAGTTTCATGTATTCCCAACAGCCAGTTTACATGTCACTTGACAGTTGATGCATCCATATCCTTTTGTTTCACACCCTGTCAAGATTCTGACATGAAATCCTGGTTTATCAGTTGGCATACAAATTGGCATTACACCATTTTGCAAATATACTTCGGTTATTTATTTCCTTTTTCTCATCCTAGGATTTTATTCTTCATTGGCACATCCAACCAAAATCCAATTTTAGAACACTGTTGGGTATGCACCAAAAGGGTGTCAGACACCTAAAAGGGTGTCAGACACCTAAAAGGGTGTCAGACACCTAAAAGGGTGTCAGACACCCAGTGTTTCATTCCCAATGACACCTGTATTGGTGTCAAAAGTGACACCCGTCTGACACCCCAGCGAGGTGCAGTTTGGTACACACCCTTAAAGGTGTTCCAGGGAAATAATTTTTTTCTCAGTGTAGAAGTGATGATCTATGGTTCAGAAAGGGTTAACATGAATATCAACAAAATTACATAAATAGATATTCACTGGTTTTGAGATATCTCTTATTTTTGTTTACTTGGCAATGGTAGCACTAGCTTACACATTCCCCATTGGGGGCAATACTATTTTCTGGACAATTTGCCAGCTGGAGCTGAATGGTGGCACTAGCAAAGCTTGTTATAATCAATGCCAGATACAAATAACTTAATATCTATCTTTTAACTTTTCTATGAGTGCCAATTTACATGCTCATGTCCATCTTTTACCATGTTTATATCAACAAATAACATAGCTATCGTACATCACCACTCACCAGCTGGTCAGCCAGCTGACTTTTTCCAGTTGCTAGTAAGGCCCCCATTGATACCAGGGTTAAGGTTTATCAAGGGTTAAATTTATTGTTGGGACTTAATATGGCAGCATTGGAAGGCAAATGTCAGGGAAATTCTGTAGGTAGTAGAATGTAGGTAGTAGGTTAAGATTGAGATATAACCTTAAACCTCGGTCCCAATTGAGAAGGTGTAAGCCAAAGCTACTGATACCACCATTTAATTTTGGGGGACTCTGCCACTCCTGTGGTGTATTTGAGGGCAATCATTTTGTTATCTTATAATTGCGACAGACGTTTCATGCAAGGCAATATATACCACCACATCACAGTGACAATTCTTATTACCAAGATTTTAGGGTAATAGTAGGGCAGACCTAGCATGGTGCCTGGTTTACCTCTGGAGACCTCCCCAGGCTTCAGAATGTTTCTAGAAAAGGTCTCAAGCCTCTAGCGACTATCCAGACCAAAACATATAGGTACCCCCTGTTGCTACATCTGCATACTGAGGGCTGTTCACGGGCACCGTACAATATGACATCACAAGACTGGGTGTGGTGGACAGCACACAAAACAGCCATCGCTGTGGCCAGTCCCGACTGACCGGCTGTGTGAGGTAATGGAAGGGTGAAGTAAGGCTGCAGTGGGCAGAGCTTGGAGCCTGAGTATGGTCCTACCGCACACAGGACCAGTGAACAGCCCTCATATACCTGCTTTGGATAAGATTTACAAATTTGTTGATCTGTGTCACATCAGTCAGGGGCATTGAAATACACTAGCCCCTATGAACCCCAGAGTAACAAACCTTGAGATCTTATACTTCCAATTTAAGTGTCTCTCGATGTTGTCATTGTTAGTACCCTAACTGCCCGAAACCAGTGATTGTGAACCAGGAACCAGGGATCCCAACTTGGCTATGGGTCTGTTCCCGTCGCTCCTCCCAAAAAATCTTGGATGAGGTTGGATGAGCTTGGAGGAGAGCCGTTTCAGAGGAGCCATGGGAACATTTTCGCGAGGAAATCAGCTGTTTGAGGGCTGTAACAGTAGGTGATTTATGGCGCGCAAACATAAATCAAGAGATAACAATCGCTTTCTAATAAAATAACCTAAGATTAATATTAAGCATTACTATCTAAAGATATCCAATCGTCATCAATCACTAAAATCATTTCCACTTCCCTCAAATCTCATTTATAAACAATTCACATTTGTATTAGGTGCGCCAAATATGTCTACGCAAGAGCCTCCTCCAAAAAACCAACTTTCGTTTGGGATGAGGGAGGAGGCAAATAGTGATGGTGAGATGTGAAATCAAGATGAGCTTGGAGGAGCTTGGAGGAGCGACGGGAACAATTTTTTGAAACGAGAGGAGGTTAGAGGAGCTTGAAGGAGGTTAGAGGAGCGACGGGAGCAAACCCTATATTTATACCAGGGGGGTTCGCTCCCGTGCCTTCAGCATTACGAAAAATGGAAACAACCCGTGAGCAGCATCAGCGCTCACGCACATGTTCAAGGAAAACAACGTGTAATGGACTGCTGACGACGGCCCTCTCCACCAATCAGCGTTCGGCACCTCGAGCGCTGATTGGCTGGTAGCAAACGCGTCATATGTGGGTCTCATTTTTTGCGATCAGTGAACGCGTTATTTAATACACAGTGGCCTATGGAGAATGGCACGCGGAATTGAAGGTCAGTGTTTTATTGCTTCGTACATGCGAATGGGGGTATTTGAGTGGTATTTGACACCATTTTCGAAATCTACAGTGAATTTCTGATCGACTCATGTATATATTTTTTATGAATTTGACAGTATTAGTGCTACATAGTCGGTGTTTTATGTTGGTGTTGTTTCTCTTGACCTTTGTCTTGGACTTTTATCATATCTTTTCTCGAAAATGCTTGCCATAACCAGGTCTAAACTATGTGTATAAAGGGAATATGTGTTGAATATGAGGAGAAAGTAGTAATGACCATTCTGCCTCTCAAACTGCCAGAAGGTGTGCTTGTAAGGTGATTGAAACTGCAGTACGGGTTGCAGATGTGGGTTTGACATTAGCATTGTTGTTGTAACCCCACTTGCTCTAATAAAATGGCAACATGGGGTTATGTACCCACTATTGCACAGCCTGGTATCAAGCTGATTGATATGTGGAGGATAATGAAAGCAGAAAAACTTTTCTTAAGTGAATAGGAACGTTGCGTCTTGTGACTTATGTCAAGTCATTTAATGATTGTGATTGTAACTTTTACTTTAATTATTATTGCTAGTTTTGACCTTTTTAATCATCAAGTTTTATTGGTACCAATTTCATATGCCTGTGTAATGTCTGTGCAGCTTTGTGCAGTGTGCGTGTCTTGAAACAAACCAATTTATTTTGTACCTTTTTGTACTTCAACAAATGTATGTGAAAGGACAAAAATGTCATGTCTATTATCATTGACACTACTACAGCTAACTTTGCCTATATTCCTATCTTTCAGAGGCATTCAATTCAATCTGCTTTCCAGTGCAGTACCTAGGAGGCTGCAACTGAAACTCTCACAAAGGCAATCAAGTGTCACTTCATCAGTCTACAGCAACAGCCCACCTGTAATCAAGATATGGATGAAGTGGAATGGAAGAACAACCAGTTCAAACATGAAAAGATGTATTTTGTTTTGGACTATTTCTTAGCATAACAGAACAGCACACTTGCTGCTTTTTATGTTTGCCCTGTGTGCAGTTTTGAATAATTTTAACTATGAAATGCTTTTGCCAACTCTTCTCTTTACATACGCTTCCTTTGTCATGCATGTGTAATTTTGAGTTTACACGCATGATGTAGGCATGGTTCCCCTGGCTTCATAAAACTACTTGCAAGCTTTTGTTATGGACATTGGTGCTACCTATATATGATGCTTCAGATGTGTCCAGTAGTTGATGAAGGAAGGAGAGGAGTAGGACAGCTGATAGCTATTACCAAAAATATGTGCTTGTCTGCACTTCGGGCTGTTCCATCATATGCAACTTCTATTTACTTTCTTGAGTTGTTAGAAACACCTGATCTTTTGTTTCTTTCCTGTGCGCCCATTCTTTCCGTAGTGTTATAAACGTCAAGTTTGAAGTTGGTATCCAAGCGAGCAAAATTTGCATTATTTCAGTCCGTCTTGAATCATTGGTCTTGAATTATATCCCTAACTGACATCCTGTTATTTGTCCTGCAATGTCTGTGCCTGTGTCCGCCCTTACCTCCGGCTCCAGCCTCCAACCAGCCCTGCTGAGTGCTGAGCTCTGTCGCCGGCGCGGTGTGTCGCAACGTGCTGTTTCTCCACTCCAGCCGACAGCTGCTAGGAATCGTCCTGTGCCATGCGCTATGCGACACAGCGATTGTAAGATGCAGGTCACATTCGGACTGATTGGCTCCGCGTATGTGCATCCGGCCGGGTGCTAGTCGATATCAGGGACGTGGGTCGGACTGTTGTGGCGGCGTGCACTGTGCTGGTTGAAGTTGTTGTATTTCTGTTAGTGAAAAGCATAAATACATAACCGTGGCCGCAGCCCGCTGTTATTGTGGATTTCAGAGGGAGTGGCCAGTCAGGAGGGCCCCATGGGGCCCTCCTGGCCCTCCATACCCACATGCATGTGGGTATGGATCCAGTGTCCAGTGGGATCGGCTAAGATTTCCGGCGATTGATAAACGCTTCTATGATAGTAAACCTAGTCCTATTGAGTTATGAGGGGAGATCACGTGAGGGGCCTGACCTTACTTAACTCTTGTGAAAACACAACACATACGAACGGTAAGAAACCAACAGCTCTTCTTTCTGCCAAGTGTCATCTTTCTGTGAAGGATTTCTTGACACTGAGTGTTCAGAAATTGCGTTGTTTTTGGACTGTGTAGAGGCTCACGAGCGACAGTATAGGTCAACAACCTGATGTACCTTAAATATGCGACTTGTACCAGAAGATCCAGCTTGATCAAAAGATTGGACATGTCAAATTTCAGCTCTTTAGCTCAAAAGAATTTTGAGCTATCGTAAAAACCGTCAGTGTGGCACCATATCGCCTTCCCGCGCGGTCGGAAGGTAAAAGTTCGCCGGCTCTAACTAAACAAATAGTCGTCGTATCGCAAATTCATTGACGGCGTTCGAAGCGTCGTTCAATTTACTTTCGAAACATATCCTAACATTAACATTTAACTGCCTAGCGCAATCTACAACAAGCAAAAGTTCCGTGCATTCATCCTCATACAGTGTTAGCGGCCGCCGGCCGCCGGCCGCTGACCCACATTCGCGTCATCAGGGAATGCCGCAACTAATTTATTGTTTCCAACTTTTTTCCCGGAGCGTTCTACCTGGTTTATATAGCCTTGATTTATACTCAATACTAGCAAAGGTGGGATGGTCACTCTAAGACCAATAACATCAGTATGACAATCATAATTGTCATCCGTTGCCAAAATGAAATTCGTATCACTGACGCCGCGCATTACAGCCCTGGCCCATTGCGATGCAACGTGGGACTTGAAATGCCGCCGGGCCACGTGGGCACCTACCTACCCAAAAACACGAATTAAGAACAAAATCGGCTAAGCATTGAGAGGCAAAGATGACCGATGAAAGAAGCAATATTACAAAAAGCAAAGAGATCCAAAACACAGTGAAGATAAGCAATACTTACAGAAATTTCGGCTCAAGACTTATGCCAAGTAATTTGCAGCCCGGAAAACAAAGATGGCGGCGGCCTGACACCGACCCTTTTGGCGTCGCTGCCGGGATCAATATTTGTGAAGGATGTTTAAAATAATTCCACTTATAGAGTTCAGTGCACTTATGTTACCAAAGAAAATTAATTGTAAGTCATATTCGTTTGAGAAAAAAAAAATTGATAGAATAAACATAAAGAAGGTTAATAGTTTTCCTTTCATGACGCTATTGTCTGCTCAATAAATTAGGACTTAACAGAAAAGCATCTAATATGACTGAATATCTGTTCAAAATTGCAAATACAGTATCATTCAAGTAATTTCTGCTAACCACATAACTGACATCACAATTTATTCAAACTTGATTCAAACTATGGCCGTCGTCGTTCCCAAGGTTCCTATAGATAATTTAGATACGTTCCTCCATTTACTAAAGCATTTTAAATAGAACGACCGACAGCCACAAGCATAAACGTACGAATCTCCATCCTCATTTTTCTGACGTGAGACTGGTCATGGTGTTAGTTCGATGCATAAGCATTTATTTACATCCTAAGGGCAGTAACAGTATTCGTGGTATTGATCGCTTCTGAGGAAAGTCACATGGACGTAAAGAGGAAATGAGCCAAAAGATACTCAAATGAGGCAAGTCACTTGCGGTGCTCATTCGAAGAAATTAAATAAAAAACTCAAGATGAAGAAAGTGACTCGAGACCCTGGACTCTGGAATGACTGTGGAGTCCCAATCTTGTAAAACAAACATTGGACTGAGTTAATATTCAATATAATTTTGACTTCAATCTAAATAGTACGAAGGTAAGTAACAATATTTACAATTATACGAAGGTCTAAAAACAACTTGAAAATAATGTAAAACATAAAAATGTCAGCATTTTAATTGCGCATATTTTGCAGCAGATGCGTCAAATAAGCTCACCTATTCGGAAATCTCAACTGCTGCCGACCCGCAGGCGTGTTACGGCTTCTCATTGGTGGAATTCACGTCGGTTGTGTTTTGTGCACCAATTAGAGGTCGAGAATAGCCAGCGAGTGACTGCCCAGAACACTAGCAGAAAGACGGCGTCAGAGACTCGAAACCGTTCCGTACCACAGACAACCGTCGGCCGCCAACTGCAGCAGCGACAGATTCCCCATCCTCCAAACCATTCCTTTCATCGTATTCGTGACAAGACCCCATCCCTCCCAGCGACATATCCCCCACTCTTCAAACCATTCCTGTCATCCAACTCTCGTTGTAACCTTACCATTCACAAACTCCCTCCTTCCCTCCCTTCACAAACATCAATTTACCGGTAAGTTTCACTGTCATTTATGTGTCTTAACGTAAATTCATGGTTTTTTCCTATATTCATGGCATAGTACATGGATATGGGTTTTCCCATGTTGTTTTGCTGTAAAAGTGGCCACCGGTCTTAGTTAGGACGGCCGGTTTGTTTTGCGCGGCGTAGTTAGGTCGCCGCCCTCCTCGCAAGGCCGGTAACGTAAGTTAGGGCCACCAAAAAAAAAACACAAACCCTGCACACAAACCGCACAAACTTGACACAAAGCGTTCCACAAACACGCGCTTTAGGAAAGTGTCATTTGTATATAAATATCCAAGTAAGTAAGGGAGGGTGTATATAAATTAGGTAAAGTAAACTTGGCACAAATTCAAATTTGGCACAGACCATTCACCATTGAACCAAACAAGGTAGAGGGCATCTATTTATGTAAGTTCATTTTTAATTAATGCCAGTTCAATTTAATGATTAATCTCTGCCATCTATTCCCTGGGATTAAAGTAGGGGGGGATATGTTACTTATAGGTTATCGGTAAAATTGGCATCACTGTCGCTGCTAGCCGGTAAATGTGAAGATAAAGTTAGAGTAAAAATAATCTAACCTGACCTAACCCTACTAAGTACTAGGTCAGTTGGGCAAACTAGGCGGCGTGAATCAAAATATGGAGGCATCAAAATATTGATTCTAGTGGGCGGAGCTTTGACCATATATGGGCATAGAATCAATATTTTGATTCAATTTGGGACGTTCCCACCTTCAGACGACCCGTTACGGCGGAAATAACCCCCATGACGGCGAGATTTTTCGACAAGTCAATTCAAAAAACTTCCCCGCTTCAATTTTTCGCTGCATGGCTATCAGCCGTTTGTCGCGCGTACCTTTACGGATGGCATAAAGATTTCGCCGCCATAATTCAACTAAAACGTGCTGTTAAAACTTGCTCTGTTTATCATTAACGACGAACCTTTGTAATTTTTTCATAATTTGGTCTAAAAGAAAATAAAAAATGCGTTATTTAGTTGTATAATTCATTTATAAGAAATATTCTTTTTCTTTGTATCTAGCCACGATTTCCGGTTCCCGCCATTTCGCGCCGGCGTCGTGGGTGTTTGGATGCAACGTAGTGCTCCCGGTTTTATTTTGTTTAAGCGACCTTTTCTGAGGTAGGTATCGGCAAAGCTAGTGACGTCACTGTCTCCGCTAACCAGTATATGTGTAGTCTGTAGATGAAGTTACTGTTAGAGTTAAAAACAATCTAACCAGACCTAACCTTACCTACTAACTTGCAGCCTACCAACCTACAACCTTACCTACCTACCCAAGTACCTACCTACCTCAGACGGTGATGCCAGCTTTACCGATACCACTTATAGGAGGTATCTACCTATCAGGCCATGGCCCTGTTTCACGGCCGCTAGTAGCGTTTTGCGAGCTGATAGATAGATTGAGGTGGTGTTGGAGTGGGAGATACAAGTTTGTTGATGTCTCCATGGAATCCCAATTGGACACATGTTCTGGCAGCATGCTAGCAGCGGTCGAGAAACAGTTCAGTGATTGCATCTCATCAAAATATTAATTTATTGGCCCTGTTTCACAGTCCCTGCTAGATAGCTGCCAGCTCATGCATCACGTTGGGTTTCCATGGAGACATCAACAAATTCCTATCTCCAACACTGCCACAATCTGTGATGTCAGCTCGCGAAGTGTGATAGCACCAATTACTACCCTTGCTACTACCTACTTATGCCAGTATCAGTAGGGGCGATCAGCATCAGGGTTGATCGAATGTGAGTTGCAATTAGAAAATCAAAATGGGCATGGTCAATGAAATTATATGTATGCTTACATGATATTTAGCATTGAATGACAATCCTTATACTTGTGTACAAAGATGGCAATGCAGATGTTCAACTTATTTGATTTGATTGTGAATTTGAAATATTTTAAACAAATCCTTTGAGCCATATTTCAGTGCATCAAGGTGAAGTTGGGGTAGGGTGCACAATGGTGATGTAAATGTGCAAATGACTTGATAATTGCTTGGAAGTATGACATTGATGCTATTCAAACTGGATATTAAATGCAAAATGAATTCAGTCATTAAAGCGATTGGCATGCCCATAGCCCTAATAAACAAACTAGGTGCATTCCAAAGAGTCCTTGTGAGCTAACAATGCTATCTTTTTACAGTGGGACAGCCAGAGGTGATGTGAAGATCTTAAACTTTCATTTAGCCATGAAGTCTGTCAGAACATATGTTGTTACCAGATCCCCATTCCCAACATCTCCTTCGGAGAGTGGGGCGGCACCTGTGAAGATTCTGGAGATGAAGGGCCGTGTGAAGGTCCTTGGGACACCTCTGAAGAGCCAGGCGACACCCATGAAGAGCCAGGCGACACCTATGAAGAGCCAGGCGACACCTATGAAGAGCCAGGCGACACCTATGAGGAGCCGAAAAACATCTCTGAAGAGTCGTAAGACATCTCTGAATAGTCGGGAGACATCTCGCAAAAGCTGGGTGACACCTCTGGAGAGTCAGGAGACACATCTGGAGAGTCAAGCAGCGCGTTGGAAGAGTTGGGAGACGCCACAGAAGAGCAAGGTTGTTAAGCCTGTAAAGGAACAACACTCTCCCCACAATGCAGTGCCGTCACAGTCGCCCACCACGGAGATGGTTATCATGACTGATCAGCGGCGCAACACGGTCGCGCCGTCCACCATCCTGCGGGCCAAGGCGGCCCGCTGCGCGCCGCCCGACGTCGACCCGGTGGCGGAGGCGCTTGAGCTCATTCGGGCCGACATGCTGGCACAGATAAGCTCGGGCGCCGACGGCGCGAGCCAGCCGGCGCCCAAGGAGCCGGTCACCATCTGCCTGAGCGAGGCGGCCACCCAGCCGTGCTCGCCGCCGTCGCCGCTCGTGCACCGCTCCCGGTCACCGTCCCCGCTGGGCGACCCCGGCGGCCGGTCCATTTTCCCCGACGACATTGAGGACTACCGGCTGCGGGTGCGCCGCGGCGGCTCGGGGCGCAGCATCACGGACCGGTTCGGCGAGCTGCTGCAGCGGCAGGCCGCCGTCGACCAGCTGCAGCGCCAGCTGCGCCAGCAGACCTACGAGATGTGCGAGGAGGCGCGGCGCCAGGAGGCGGCCGCCGACGCCCAGCGGCGCGGCCAGTACGACCGGTCGGTGGAGCCGCCGGCGCCGCTGCCGCCCACCACCGCCGCCGACACGCTGCTGGTGCTGCGCGAGCACGGCTGCTGCGGCCCGGCCGACATGTGCCTCACGCCGCCCGACCTGCCCGACGCGCTGGCGCTCATCCACCGGCTGCGCTGCGAGGTGCTGGAGCTGCGCGCCTGCTCGCTGCGGACAGCCTACGAGAAGAACGAGGTGGCGGCGCAGCTCAACAAGGAGCGTGCGCAGCTGCGCAGAAAGTTCACCAGCGCCCAGGTGGACCGGCTGACGGGCGGCAAGATACGCGGCGTCTGGGCGGCCGAGGACGTGCGGCGCGCCATCGCCGCGCGCCGGGTGCTCTCGCGCCGCCAGTACCGCTACATCACGGACGTGCTGCACGTGCCGCTGCCCTCCCTGAAGCTGCGCAACAAGGCACTCAAGACGAGCGAGGAGACCCGCCAGCTGTACGAGCAGTTGGTCGCCGAGAAGACGCTGGCCTACCGGACAAAGAAGGGGCGCACAGTGCGAAAGGCGCCGACGCCGAGCGTGGCGGCCGCGGCGTCGCCCAGGCGGCACCAGGACTGCATCATAATGGTGGCGTCGGACTCGAGCGGGTCGGAGGGCGAGGAGATGGACGTCTAGGCGCGGCTCACGCGCGGGCCTCCGTGCGCCGATTATGATGAGTTGATGTGCATGGTGTAATTCAAGTGCGAGGCACGACCGACTGGTGGGAATCGTGGCATTTTAAACGTTTCTCGTGTATGTCTCGTAGCTCAACATGTGTGTTATCGAAGCAGGTAGTGACGTATTGTTTTCCAAGTCGCTAACCGTACAATGTCATCTCATGTTACCGGTCGTGCGGGCTTTCATCGCCAGCGGTAATCTATTGAATGAGACTAGAGAGCCATTCGTCCAGTCAGCTGACATGAGCTCACCCATCTCTATTGCCAGAGCCATGTTGTGGTGTATTTGTTTACTGAGGTCATCGTGTTCCCCTCCTGTTGGCCGTCATATTGATTGGACTGGGCCATTAGGCGATTAAATCATGTTCCGTTGCGTTCCTTGAATATAATGTTGACTGTTACGTCATTGCAGCGCGAACTGGGCATCTGTCACAATGTGACTCGATTTGGCCCGATACCACTCCGCCACGGCACGGCGATCCAAACACCGCGGTCGCCAGTACCGAACTGTATTTCCGTGACCTGACCCTCTGCGCCGGCCGGCACAGTGGCGCAGAGGCGCACACAGGGACCGGACAGCGGAGCGGCGCAGAGGCGCACACAGGGACCTGACAGCATCCTCTGGTGGGGAACAGAGTGCCATACCCTGACTCACTCTATTAGCTCATGTTGAGAGGTTTAGAGAAGCCTATGAATCGGTCCAGCCCGGCGGTAAACCAAACTTGGAGTCGAAACAGAACCACGTTTTTCGGTTTATTGTTGATATACGAGCATAAGTACAACAATCGACCAATTACCTAATCATTTTTACCAAATCGTCTCAGCATGTTCTGGTGGTATCCCGTCTATTATCCATGGTGACTACCGCCAACACTACGAGTATTCCCTGCACATATTCGGAATTGCTGTAAAACCGTAACCGGTGAGCCATCGTCGACACATCACTGCCACCGGCGGCAGACGCGGGCTGCTGATATAGCGCCGACGGGTGAACACGTGATGCGAGAACTCCACTGTCTATACCCTAACCCCGGCGAGACGCGATCAGCGCGGCGGGACTAACCTACAATCGGCCATGGGACTAAACCGGTGCAGTGCGTCTGTGGTGGGGCCGTCCTGGGGACAAGCCGGTTCGACTAGCTGGACCCGTGGGTGTCGTCGCACCCGGCAGTAAATATAGAGAAAACTGGCACGAGTAGGTGGCAGGTGCAGGCGGAGGTGCTGACTACGGTAACACAAACAGGGTGACAAGGGTAAAAACTGAGACTAAGAAACACATAAGATGTCAGTAAAGCTTGAACAGCAACAAGTCTTAGGCATTTCACTTGAATGAACAGAAAGCGGGTATGATAAGGTTAGGACAAGTGACACGAATACGGTTAAAGCGAATGCTTTTACAAAACGCCGGACAATTATAAGCCTCACTGCAGGACTGGGCGACATATGCTGTGCTTTCAGACACCACTAAGTGGTTTCATCAAATCATATGTACGGGTAAAACGACCAATAGTTTTCTGGGCAATGCTTCTGAATGGCCTGAATGTTTCATTTATGTTACAAACATTGCTTTAGAAGCAAGTTTGCAGCCCTTAGGTACTATGTAAACATGCTGTTAGAGTATCCCCAGTAAAAAGAGGCCACGCAACAATAACATATCGTTAATCTCGCAGACTATCGTATCGTTACGCAAGTATCGTAACCTGGTAAACAAGTGTTAACTCGTCTACCTGAAGAACAGAGAAGTTTTAGAAACTTGCCTATCTGGGGCCAATAAAAGACTAGAAGTTGTTTAAACAGAAGGGGCAAAATCCAAACAAAATTCATTTGAAGACAAGCCGGGCCAATAACTGCTCTTCTACGTCAGATTTAACTATTGTTGCGATTAAAGAAAAGTATTCTTCGAACATGTTCAAAGGCATCATTTAACCCACTGCCCATTTGAAGACATACTGGCTAATGTTAATTATATATGACTATAATCAATAACCTTGCCTCTCGATAATAAAGCCCAATTGACCACCCAACCTAATGCCACGTTAACAATACCCCCATAAATCAAGATAACATAAAGCACATTAGCGGAGAAGCTTCTACCCCCGCAACATGCAACTTAGATGCTAGGCGTGCTTTGAGCATCCTACCCCATGCACATAAATGACTTGTACACACACACACATACATCCCAATATCGCCTCAAACTTTGGATCAAGTTGGTATCGCATTTCGGTGCGTACACCGCAACAGCACCGATATTTTGGTACAGGCTCTCTTGTAGCAATACGATGGTTCAGAAATGTTTCCACATTTCGATGAACTCATCAATTACGGTGCGCTGACATTAAAGGAAATAGTTCACTTTTAACATGGGGTTTTGAACTGGAATAGCAGTTTCGTAGCTTGAGCTGACACTAGCACAAATCAGGAGCTTTTACGGCTCAATGATCACCCTAGACGAAGATATTCCATTTCTCGTTCCGAAAAGAGTGCCTTGCAGAGGAATGTGTGCCTTGCACAGGAATGCAGCCACGTCATCGTCAGCCAATCAGCATGCTGCTTACAGCCAATGCAGTATGCGTAGGTTTGAACTACGCGATATGATTGGTCAACGCGTAATAAGCTTCCGCGTCAAACATTATTTTACATAGAATATAGTTCGTCCTATATTAAAATACAGAAAATTATTGTTTTTACAAAGAGGTTTTATTTTATTTCATGATCATTTTGAGCATAAAAAATCATAAATCAATAGCAAAATACTAATTTCAGGAAAGTGAACTGTTTCCTTTAACTGTGCATCGGGAAGCAGTGCATTGAAAAGCTGCAGCTCGCACAGCCATTGAAAGGATCCCACTTGATTTGGCCATTACCTCCGGACAGTAATTCTATAGTCTCGGAACAGGGCGCTCACCACCTGCCGAGTCAGCACGTGTCCCGACCGACAGGCAGCAGTGCGTGCCCCGACCGCCAGGCGGTAGTGCGTGTCCCGACCGCCAGGCGGCAGTGCGCGCCCCGGCCGCCAGGCGGCAGCACGTGTCCCGACCGCCAGGCGGCAGTGCGACCGGCCGGCCGGCCTACTGGAGCAGTTTGACGAACTCTCGCAGCGTGTCGCGCTTGGTCTCCAGGTAGACGCGGCTCTCCCAGAGGATCTGCAGCAGCTGCTCGTTGCGCGTCTCGTCGAGCGGCAGGTCGAGCGTCAGCTGCGGGCTGCAGCGCAGGTACGGGATCGAGAGGGAGCCGCACCAGGCGCGCGCCCGGTCCACCACCCGGTTCTCCACAGAGGTCGCCTGTAACAGGGGAGACACACGGAGCTCCGTTAGATCCGGTCACGGTGGACGCCCATGGTATGACACGACATGTCACGACTGGGTGTGCTCAGTATGAATTTGGACAGGGTTCACGAAATAGAGTGACAGGTGCCTATTACCTAGTCTGGTGTGAGGTGTCACCCTCATTTCGACACACATGGTGTCGTTCGACTTGACTTTCGACAGAACATGTTGCGACAGAAAATAAAAGAATCGGTCAACGCTCAGGTGTTCAGTTGTGAACATTAAGTTAAACCGATGCTCCTCATCGCCAACAAGTCTCCTGTCTGGAACATTCCCGCCCTTTTTACGGCGCGCCGTCGGCTCACCTGTTCCACCACCATCTGGAAGAGCGCCTGCACGCCCGAGGACACCTTGGTCAGGTCCCAGATGCTGTCCGGCGTGTAGCAGTCCACGCTGCTCACCTGAAACGCGCCGGGGTGTGTCAGGTGTCAGAGGTGTCAGATCGGGGGTGTCAGGTGTTATGCAAGCTCGGGGGTGTTTATTGAGGTCTGAGGTGTCATCGACTCAGGTTTCAGGTAATGGAAAGAACAATGTCATACAAAGGTATACAATAGAAACGAGAATAATTACACACCATGGGGATACTCTATTCCCATATCCTAAATAATGACGTTGCATATGACATATGCTGACACACAAAGACCTCCTCCACATGGGAAAACAAAGCAGAACAAAACAACCACAATGACGCACATCACGTGCACCACAGTTGATATTACCTGCAGGCACGAATTAGGTATAATACAGCATACAAACGACCCTCCGATTCTCCACAGCTCACGTTCACAGCCCCCGGTGTGCGTCTCATCTCTATCGACAGTCAGCAGTTCCAGCCTCACCTCTACCGACAGTCGGTCGTAGCACCCTCACCTCTACCGACAGTCTGCAGTTCGTCTCATCTCTACAGACAGTCGGTCCGCCGAAGTCTCACCTCTACCGACAGTCGGTCGTAGCACCCTCACCTCTACCGACAGTCGGTCGTAGCACCCTCACCTCTACCGACAGTCGGTCGTAGCACCCTCACCTCTACCGACAGTCTGCAGTTCGTCTCATCTCTACCGACAGTCAGCAGTTCCAGCCTCACCTCTACCGACAGTCGGTCGTAGCACCCTCACCTCTACCGACAGTCTGCAGTTCGTCTCATCTCTACCGACAGTAGGCAGTTCCAGTCTCACCTCTACCGACAGTCGGTCGTAGCACCCTCACCTCTACCGACAGTCTGCAGTTCGTCTCATCTCTACCGACAGTCAGCAGTTCCAGCCTCACCTCTACCGACAGTCGGTCGTAGCACCCTCACCTCTACCGACAGTCTGCAGTTCGTCTCATCTCTACCGACAGTAGGCAGTTCCAGTCTCACCTCTACCGACAGTCGGTCGTAACAGCCTCACCTCTACCGACAGTCGGCAGTTCGTCTCATCTCTACCGACAGTAGGCAGTTCCAGTCTCACCTCTATCTACCGACAGTCGGCAGTTCCATTCTCACCTCTACAACGGGCGGCCGGCCGCAGTTCCAGCCTCACCCCGACAACGGGCGGCAGTGACGGTCTCACCTCGACAACGGGCGGCCGTCCACAGCCCACGGAGAGCACGGCGGTGGGCGCGGCGACCTCGGCGGCGCGGCCCACCGTGCTCAGCGCCAGGTTGTGCTCGAAGATCTCCGTCAGCACGTCCAGGGTCGGGTTGTTGGCGATCAGACCGCCGTCCACGAAGCGGCCCGACGCGCGGAAGAAGGTGGGTGCTGCGCCTGAGGAGCGGGCGGCCCTCCAGAGCAGCTGCTCGGAGGGCGGCGGCGGCGGCTGCGCAAGCAGCACACGCCAGCAGCAGGGTTAGACACGAGCCTCGGATGATTCACAGGCGATTTATAAGGGATATGCACTGCAAATTTAAATAAGATATATTCACAGGTGTGACTTCCCCTGTCATATTCAAGGGGCTAGGTAAGTTGTTAGTGCGTGAGCGATTGCGAGAGGTAATGAACTGTCTCTGCCTGGTAAATGAAACAAAGCAAAGGCAGCTTTGACGATATTACACGAAAAATCATTAACAGGGTAGCATCTGGCAGTTTTAGGAGTAATCGTCACGGCACACCGTCACTCCACACAAGTACCTAATAACCGCGCACAGCCTCACCTCACGATACTTTAACCATCATTCCCCAGCCGTCTCACCGTGAACGTGCTCGCCTCGACGACGTTCATCATGGACGCGGTGTCGTCGTAGTTTCTGAAGAGGTGCAGGTCGGCCGGGTGCCGGTCGCCCAGCACGCCCGTCACGATCACCCGCGGCTTCTTGATGTCGCCCATGGTGGTGCTCTCGCCGAACTCGGCCTTCAGGAAGCTCTCCAGCTTCTCATTGCTGTACGGCCGGGAGCCGACAAACACTTTGTCTTTGAGCCGGAAGAAGAGCTGGTGACACTCCTGCAGCGACTTGCCGATGGCCAGCGCCATCGCCAGGATGCCGCCGACGCTGGTGCCGCCGATCCAGTCGAAACACTCGATGACTGGTTTGCCGGCCAGCCGCTGGATCTCGTGCAGCGCCTGCACGAGCAGGATGCCGCGGATGCCGCCGCCGTCCAGACAGAGCACGCGGCACGGCCTCTCGGGAGGCTGGCGGCGCAGCTCGGCCGCCGAGCGGCTCAGTGTGTTGGCCGCCAGCACCTCGTCCAGGTGGTGGCGGGCGCGCTGCTTGGCCGGCCCGAACGGCGGCACGCCGATACCCTCGCCGCCCGAGATGCAGCCCTCGCGGCAGCCACGCATGGCGCTGACGCAGCGCGGCGCGCCCACCGCGTGCAGCGTGTACACCAGCAGGTCGGCGTTTTTGCGCAGCGTGGCGGCGCGGTGTCGCGGCGTCTCGCCGGCAGTGTTGGTGGCGCTCAGGTCGGCGCCGAACACGATGAGCGCGCGCGTCAGGTGGACGTCAGCTTGCGCCACGGCCAGGTGGAGCGGCGTGTTGCCGTCCCGGTCCACCGGGTCCACCTCGGCGCCGTGAGACAGCAGCAGCACCACGTTGTCCAGCAGCTTGTTCCGCGTCATCACGTGCAGCGCCGTGTCGCCGTGGAAGTTTTGCGCGTTCACGTTGCAGCCGAGCTCGAGCAGGGCGACCATGACGTCGGCGCCCTTGGCCCAGTGCAGCGGCGTGCCGCCCTGTTTCATGTCCTTGGCGTTCAGCTGGTTAGGGTACGTCTCGATGATCTCCTTGGCGCACAGAGAGCTCGACAGAGACATGGCCGTGTGGATGGGTAGCTCCTCGGCACTGCGGCAGACGGGGGACGGGCGTCAGCACAGCGAGCGACCCTCCGCCCGGTGCTCGTCAGACGGGGGACGGGTGACAGCACCGGGAGCGACTCTGATCCAGTGTTCAGTTTTTCAGAATTTTGGGTGGAAAATCACACCTAATGGAGACAATATTTTCATCCCAAAAATCAGATAAAGTGACACTATGACATCTTTGGAAAATGTTTCATGCATTCAAACAGCCAGGTTACATATCACTTGGCAGTCGATGCACCCACATACTTTTCTTTTAGATCCTGTCAAAACCCTGACATGAAATCCTGCTTCATCAAATGGCGTAAAAGGGCGTTACGCCCTTCTGCGAGAATACATACTATTGGTATTTACTTCTTTTTTCTCATCCTAGGAATTTTCTTTCTTCATCGCCACACCCAACCAAAATCCAATTTTAGAACAATGCTCTCATCCGCCCGGCAGTCGTCAGACGGGGGACGGGTGACAGTACCGCGAGCGACTCTGATCCGCCCTGCAGTTGTCAGACGCTGCTCAGGCCGGCTCACAGGATGATGACGTGCGGAGAACTACCAAGGTAACTTGTGGAATGCACAATCGACGGTGCAAAGACAGATGCCGTTTATATTCAGGGTGCCGCCGCAAGATATATCAGTCACATTTTTGACATAAAAACAAAAATGCCTTGGCCGATGAGGATGAAAAACATGTACAACATGATTAGAGGAAAGATATATACGCAAGTAAGCCAGTAATAATACATTCAAACGCAGGGCATTGAACAGCTGAAACGCCTTTTGAAACCGCTCATTGTGCTAAAAAGCTCATATTTTTTATATTCGTCGAACCTACCAAGATAAGAGGTCGTCAGTTTCCAAGCCCCTTTCATGCAGTAAACGTCGCACCAAACGACTCATCGCAGCGCTAGCTGCGTCGAGAAATCCTCCCTGCACCATCCACAAAATCGTCAATGAGCTGCTGTAACAGATAATATGAAGCTAAATCAGTGGGACTTCTAAAGTATCTAAACTCTCGCCTTTACATAAAAAAACAGTGGCAAAATAATAATAAAATTGCATGCATGCGAAATGATAAGGTCCATCGCACTGGAGAAGAAAAAGCGTAAAATTATTAGACGCGCATAAAGCCTTCTAATGTTCATGCAGTTCATGCACACGACATGCAAAAGGATGTGGAAAAAAACAATTGTCGGATTAGAGGACGAAAATTCATGTAACTTAGCTGACCATGCCAGATAAATATTCTATACACAATCCGGCCAGACCCTATCATGCGCTCACCTCCCGGCCACATTGACGTCTGCCCCAGCCTTCAGCAGCGTCTTCACGTTATCTGGCTTGTCCTCCATGCAGGCGATGTGCAGCGGCGTCAGGTTCTTCTTGTTGCGCGCGTTGACCGCCTCTGGCGTCGCCGACTCCAGCAGGAGGGCGAGCACGTCTCGCGGCCCGCGCGCGGCCATGTGCAGCGGCGAGTTGCCGTCGGCGTCTGTGACGTCCACAGCCGGCGGCGGCTCGCGCGCCATCAGCCGCTGCACGAACTTGAGCTGCCCGCCGGCGGCGGCCAGGTGCAGCACCGTGACGCCCGTCTCCGGATCCGGCTCCGACACCAGCGCCGACAGCTCGGCGTGCGCCAGCGGCTCGGCCCACTGCAGCCAGGCGCACACGTGCGCGCCGTGCCAGCCGGCGTGCTGACGCGCCGCGTCACACACGCGCTGTAGCGTGTCGCGCGCCAGCGTCTCGCGCGGCCAGAGGCGCACCAGCAGCGGCACAAAGCGCGCCAGCCGCTCCAGGAGCGCCACGGCCTGCTGGTGCGAGCCGGTGCGCCACAGGACAAACTCCTTGTGGACGGTGTCGGCCAGCGGCCGCTGCAGCACCAGGTCGTACACCGAGTGGCCATCGGAGAGCTTCTCGGGCCCGTAGAGGCAGAGGCACTCCTCGCGCCGGCTAACAGGCCATCGGTGGTGCGCGTCCGCCTTCACCTCGTACACGGAGTTGGGGTCGTTGTTGGCGCCCAGCACGTCCCGCAGAAAGTCCGTCACCAGATTGGTGAACAGCGACATGGCCTGGGGGAGGCACACAGAGCTCAGCCAGCGGTGACCGGAGGGGCAGGGTACGGGGACTCGGTTTCGGAACCGGTCGAGTAGAGATAAAACACACACTGTCAAATATATTCAACCATAGTACATAGCAAAGATACGGACATTTCGCTTGTCGCAATAGGTACTGAAGGCTCGCGACAGCCCTCATAATGCTCCAAAACCAGTTGATATGTCGATGGCGGGGTGCCGACTCTCCAATTGATTACATATTAGCTGACAGGGCGTGGGGAGTTTGATCTGCTTTGAAAACATGGGGAAACCAGCCACTGGATGTTTCGATGGGGTCGACGTCGCCATACCCAAGTAGTGTGGGCCTAGGAACTCACAGAATGGAGCGTTTACAAGTTGTGCTGACCTAAAATACCAGGAATTCTAAGGATTTGAATGGGGGGGGGGGGGGTTCCATCACATGGCGCCTGCATCAGGGAGCTGATCACGACATGTTCTGTGCTATTGTCCCCACAGTCAAACCCAGCTGGGGACGCAGCAGAGTCGCCCCTCGACCGAGCTGCGGACGTCCTAGAGGAGCTGCTGGCTGCTACAGCAATGAACAGACGCCCCCGGGGAAGTCAGCGTTCCAATCCACTCCCAAACGCCACCGAATGGATGCCTGTGGACGCCCGACCCGGCAGACAAGTCCAACCTTCCTGGGGGGGAGGACATTCTCCACCTTGTTTGAGACTCTATGTATTGCTGCTGCTCAGACCTTCCCTGAAGTCAGGACACCAGCTACCCAACCTAACTAACTGTATGGGAATTTATGTGGACCACTTCAAAGTGTGGGACAGGAGGTGCCCCAGCTGCCAGCAGGGCTTGAGCCTAATTATTTGGCTTGGAGGGGATCATCACCCCAAACAAAGACCAAAGGCTATGGACTCCCAGGCCGTTGGACATGTGCTGACCCAGCTTTCTCCTTACTGTGACAGGGTCGTGCTGCAGCTGCAGGTCCCGCGCCACGGCTCCTCCTTGTCCCTGACTCCTTTGAGTGCGCCCTTGCAATAACCAAACCTATCAATTATCATCAACCCAATCATGATGAATTAGCTCGAGTTAAAATCGCATGGTATATACTGCCGGTATCGGTAACCCTGGCGTCACCGGTAGCGTTTTCGTACAACGGTAGCGTTTACTGTAGTACGCCGCCGTGCCAAGCCGAAGCATGCTGTGACGTCACTGGGTAAGAGAAGATAACGTACCACACTATCAGTATCGACTGAGACTATAGACTCAGACCGACTCAGGCAGACTCAAACTGACTCGACCGGCTCAAACTGACTCAGACAAACTCAACCGACTCAAATCGTTTCTGATCGACTCGGACAGACTCAGAAAGACTCAGGCAGACTCAAACCGACTCAGGTAGACTCAAACTGACTCGACCGACTCAAATCGATTCAGATCGACTCAGACCTACTCAAACTAACTCAGACCGACTCAACCGACTCAAATCGATTCCGATCGACTCAAATTGATTCCAATCGACTCAGACAGACTCAGAATGACTCAGACAGACTCAGGCGGATAGATTCAGGCAGATTCAGATCGACTCAGACCGACTCAGATAAGTCTCAGAACGACTCAGCCGACTCAAATCGTTCCGATGGACTCAGACAGACTCAGAACGACTCACACAGACTCAGGCAGACTCAAAACAACTCAGGCAGACTCAAACCGACCAGGCAGACTCAAACCGACTAGGGCAGACTCAGACCAATTCAGATCGACTCAGACCGACTCAGATAGACTCAGAACGACTCAAATTGACTCAGACCGACTCAACCGACTCAAATCGATTCTGATCGACTCAGACACTCAGAATGACTCAGACGACAGACTCAGGCAGACTCAAACCAACTCAGGCAGACTCAGAACGATTAAGATCGACTCAGGCCGACTCAGATAGATTCAGAACGACTCAAAATGACTCAGGCCGACCCAACCGACTCAAATCGATTCCGATCGACTCAGACAGACTCCGGTAGACTCAAACCGACTCAGGCAGACTCAAACTGACTCAACTGACTCAAACCGATTCAGGTCTGATGATTCAGGTCAAACCGATGGGTCTGTCTGAGTCGGACTAAATCGGTTTTGAGTCGGTTGAGTCGGTTTGAGTCTGCCTGAGTATGTCTGAGTTGTTCTAAGTCTGTCTGAGTTGACCGGAATCGATTTGAGTTGGTAGAGTCGGTCTGAGTCCATCTGAGTCGGTCTGAGTTGATCTGAATCAGTTTGAGTCGGTCGAGTCAGTTAGAGTCTGCCTGAGTCGGTTTGAGTCATGCTGAGTCTGTTGAGTCGATCAGAATCGATTTGAGTCGGTCTGAGTCAGTTTGAGTCGTTCTGAGTCTATCTGAGTTGGTCTGAGTCGATCTTAATCGTTTTGAGTCCATCGAGTCATTCTGGGTTTGCCTGAGTCAGTTTGTGTCGTTCTGAGTCTGTCTGAGTTGATCGTACTCGATTTGAGTCTGTTGAGTCGGTCTGAGTCAGTTTGAGTCGTTCTGAGTCAGTCTGAGTCGATCTGAATCGGTCTGAGTCTGCCTGAGTCGGTCAAGTCAGTTTGAGTCTGCCTGAGTCGGTCTGAGTCTATAGCCTCAGTCGATACCGATAGCCTGCTACGTTATCTTCTCTTACCCAGTGACGTTACAGCATACTTTGGCTTGGCACGGCAGCCTAATACAGGAAACCTTAACCTTGAACGAAAACGCTACCGGTGACGCCAGGGTTATCGATACCTATACTGCCTTGATTGTATCCACATTACCTACCTTCCTAGATGAGATAGGCAGGTACGTACCGAATACCGTAAACCGGGGTGACTTTGTATCACTTTTGACCAGTTTGGTACAATATCTTGTATATCACTTGAGATTTCACTCTGGAAACTGTTTCATCATACCAATTGGACAATTCTCTATCTAACTGAGTACAATAAATGCCTTGAAATTTATCAAAAATATTTTATTTTTTTACCAAAAAATTGATCATTCTCACCCAGACGTCGGGGTGACTATGATCACTACATTAAAATCACCTTATGTGTGCCATAGGAGCCCTCAGAAGGGGCTTGTGTGATAAAATTACATGTTTTGAATAAAATCAAAGGCTTTGCTTGACAAAAACTCGCACATTTTACAGTAAAACTATGAATCATTGAGGTATTAAAATAAAGTTGCATGCTCTGGGTCTAAACTGACATTACAGAGCTATAAGCAGCAAAATTAGCTACTTTAACCTCTGACTTCAAGATTAAGTAACAGTCACAGATGTCCTAAGCCACAGGCTACCTGTTCTACATCACACTTTGTCTGCTGGTGGCTGTGGGACCACTTGCCACACTGTTCATGCCCCTCCCAGCTGATTGTCTTTTTCACTTCCCATTGACGCTCCAATTACCACTGAGATAGAGCAGCTCAATGCTCATCCTCCATCATCAGTATCTAAGCCTTTCCTTTCTCTTTCTTTATCTGGGTCTTTCTCATCTTTACCATTATTTTTGCTGGAGATGCTAGCGAATTTATACTTCATACCTTACCTTACCTTACCAATACAGAATTTTGAGGCCTATAAGGCCTGTAGGGATCTGATCTCATCGAGCTCCTTACTAGAGACAGTCATGAATCTTGGGCTGGGATGTCAAAGGATGCATCACCCCAGTGAGAGTCGAGACGGGCTTTGAAGATATTGACAGACGTAGAGAGGACCACAGAGGCAGGAAGCGCATTCCAGTCGTTGATGGCGCGGACCGACAGAGTGTGTCTCCTGGGTCTTGAAGCAGCTTGAGGCTTCAGCAGCTTCAGAGCATGTCCTCTGGTGACAGATGAGACTGCCTGCTCGAAAAACTGGTCCGGCCGAACGTTGACTCCTCCCGTCAAAATCTGGAAGATGGCGATTACGTCTCCTCTCCGTCTTCGGTGATATAGTGATGGCAGCTTGAGTCGCCGGAGGCGTTCCTGGTAGGGCAAGTGTCTTAGCTCACGGACCAGTTTGGTTGCTCTCCGCTGCACTCGTTCAATCAGCCTCTGATCAGCTCGGTTGAAGGGCCCCCAGATGAGGTTCCCATATTCTAGATGGGGTCGTACCAGCGTTTTGAAGAGAATCGGCAGGGTAGTCGCATCAATGCAAATGAACGATCTTTTTATCAGTGCGAGCATTTGGTTGCCCTTTGCAGCTGCAGACGCGGCCTGCTTACGAAACTTCAGGTCAGAATCCAGCTGAACCCCCAGGTCCTTCTCTACTTCAACCGTATTCAGCTGGAGACCATTCATGGTGTATGAGTGCCCAGGATTCCTAGGGCCGAGATGAAGGACCTTGCACTTTGATTCATTGAACGGCAGTTGCCACTTCTCCGACCACTTGGCCACTTCTTCAATGTCTCGCTGGATTGAGCTTGTTCCAGTGGACGATGGTGTTCCGAAGATTTTGGTATCATCTGCAAAGACCTTGATGGAGCTCTGCACGGATTCGGGTAAGTCATTGATAAATATGATGAACAGCATTGGCCCGAGGACTGACCCTTGAGGAACCCCACTGGTCACAGGCACCCAAGGCGAGCAGTGTCCTCTGATCACCACCTGTTGACGCCGGTCCGATAGGAAGGAGGCAATCCAGCCCTTTAACCTTCCTGTGATACCGTATCCCTCGAGTTTATTCAGGAGTCTCAGGTGTGGCACAGAGTCAAAAGCCTTTCTGAAGTCGAGATACACCGCATCAACTGGTTCGCCATTCTCTATGCACTTGATCCACTCATCCAGCACTTCAAGAAGCTGGGTCATGCAGGATCGCTGTGGTCTGAAGCCGTGCTGGTGGTTCGATAGGAGGTTGGCTTCTTCCAGGTGAGTCATGAGATGATCTCGGATCAGGGATTCAAGTACCTTGCAAGGAATTGCAGTCAAGCTCACTGGGCGATAATTGCCTGGGTCCAGCCTGTCCCCTTCTTCAGAATGGGTACTACGGTGCCAAGCTTCCAGTCGTCTGGAAGACAGCCAGACTGAATGGACTTGTTGTAGATGATGGATAGTGGGACCGCCAGCTGAGCAGCCGCCTCGATCAAGACCCTAGGGTGGATTCTGTCTGGCCCTGGGGAGCTAGAGCTCTTGAGTCGCATCAACTTGTGTTTAACCATGTCGGCCGTGACCGTCAGGTCGCGAAGGTTCAGTGACTGGCCAGGTGGAGCAAGAGATGGTATAACAGAGGCATCCTCGTTGGTGAATACCGAAGAAAAGTACTTGTTCAGGATGCTAGCCTTTGTGACGTCATCTCTGATTACCAATCCGTTCTCATCTCTCAAGGCGTCAATGCCAACCTTGGTTTTGAGTCTCGAGTTGGAGTATTTCCAGAAGGCCTTTGGGTTGTCCTTTAGCTCTTTTGACAGTCTGAACTCAAAGGTACGTCTCAGCTCTCTGGTAAGCTTTCTCAGTCTGTTCCTGCATCGGCAGTACCTGGCGTAGTCAACAGGGTCCCTGGTGTGAGCATACATATTCCAAAGCAGGCTTTTCTCACGCCTGAGCCTCTGCGCTCGGTTATCAATGTACAGGTTCTTGTTAGGTCTGTGGTGCGTCACCGGCACTGTGCGAGCAACTGCCTCTCTGAGGGAGCTCACAAAATAGTGGTAGGCGCGATGCACGTTGCTATCATGCATCACAGTCCAGTCCACATCTTGGAGCACACTCCTCAGTAGATTGTAGTTGGCTCTGTTGTAGTTCAGATGGGGACCGATTGGGATCCCTTTCGTAGTGTAACATTTCAGACTGAACTCCAGAATGACATGGTCACTGAGGCCAAGACCTGGTGAGTGCTGCAAGTCCTGTACCATCCCTTCCTCGTTGGTGAAGATGAGGTCAAGCATACTTGGGATTTGACCTAAACGATACCTTGTTGGTGCAGTGACATGCTGGGTAAGAAAATGGTCTTGCACACATGAGAGCAGTGCATGAGAATGATGTCCAGGGGGCTCGTCTGAGAAATAGGACGCCCAGTCAATCTGTGGAACGTTGAAGTCTCCGACTACCAGAATGTGAGAAGGACTCAAATTTCCAGCCAGTGACAGACTTCTATCCAGCTCAGTTATGCCCAGATGTCTGTCTCCGGACGGACTCAGGTAAATACACCCAATCAAGAGTTTGTCCCCATTGCGAAGGTCAATCATAATCCATATCTGCTCCATGGATGTGGGTGGGTTCGTTTGAAGAGTTACTTCATGAGATGGCAGGTGCTCCTTTACATATATGCACACACCTCGTTGTCCACTCGCCCCGAGATTGGGTCTTGACAGGTCCACATTTACATAAATGTTGTACTTGGGGAGGGCCAGTAGAGCAGGGTGAATAGGAAGAATCTGGGCCTTAGGAACAACTTCTGTGATGAGAATGACATCAGGCTCATTCTGTGCAATTACCATAGACAGGTCGTCCCTCTTGTTGATTAACTGATCGGCATTAGTATAAATGACTTTGATTTGCTTTGCTTGATCACTAATACCCGACCCATATAGTCAATTTTGGTTGCTGTCAGCATGTGGCCGTGCTGACTCTGTTCGGTTAGGCTGGGCGTTCGCAGGTCTGTCAGCCTGTTTCAAAGTGCTTGAGCTGGGGTTGGGGTTGGGTGCTGGGTGAGTCGAAGAGTTTGGGTGAGAATGAGTAGCCTCATTGTTGTTCATCCTCACTATCTTCCCCTTCCTGATAGTCAGGTGCTCCTCCCCTGCCAGCTTTCGAGCAGCCAACTCCTCCCTGAGCCGTTTTCCTTCTTCCCTGTCTTTCTTTGAGAGATCAGGGGTGACATAGATCCTCTTCCATGTTGAGAGGTGTCTGAGTTGTGGAGCCATCCTCAGTACCTCTGCTTTTGCATCAATGCTGTCTAGAGAAACAATGAGAAGCCGGGGCCTTTCGTCGCTCCTTTTGCCAGCTCTGAATGCCTTAGTTGGCCTGATGACTAGGCTCATGCCTTCTTTGATTACTTCTTTGAAGAGGTGAAGGTCCTTTTCCATTCTCTCAGACAGCGTCTCCCCTTCCTGTTCTGGCAGGTTATGTACCACTACATTTAGTTTTCTTCTCTCTTTGTCCATGAAGCTGTCAAACACTCGTGACATAGCATTGGTGGTTTCAGATAGACCATTGTGGTCAGTCTTGGGCTGGGTTGGAAGGATGTCAATTTTTGCACCCACATCCTTCACCACCTTCTCGCATGTTCCACGAACGATGTCAGCGTAAGACTCCCTCTGGGCATTTTGCTCTTTACAGACTCTTTCAAGAAGGTGTGAGTGATCCATGGTAGTTTTCTCCTGTTCTTTGATGGACTGAACGATGACCTTCATGTGCTCGCGCACTGAGTCAGCCATCTGTTGGACTTTTGTTTCTAGTTTTTGCAGTGCGTCTGCCTTACCGATTGGTGACTGAGTGGGATCGGTCCTGTTCCCCGTTCCAGGCCCCTGCTTTTTGCATGCATCGCAAAGCCATGACAAACATTTGTAGTTCACAAGGGCATCGTGGGCCCAATGACAACAAAAAAACAAGCTGTGACATGAACATGATTATTCTAACTGGGACCCAAAGTGTCCAATATAATGCTTCATTGCTTTATTTAACTATTGGCATAGAAAATACAGTTCACAGCAGCTAATTGCTCATTTGAGGCCCAAAATTGGTCTATGATCAAAGTCACCCCGGGTATCATTGTCACCCCGGTTTACGGTATGAATCAATTGCAACGCCCTATAAATAGGTACCTATAACGTCTTGATCCAAGCACTCCAAGTCCAACAAGCACACAATTCGCAAGCCAAGGCAAAGGCCATAAATGTAAAGCTACAATCCCTTATGAATCTTGTTTTGAATCGGCCTTGCCTTGAACCCAGGCTCTGTGATCAACGGATCAAGGGATCAAGTCAAGTCAAGGGATCAGATCAGGTCAAGGTGATCTATATACTCTGAAGCAAGGCCCCTCTGAAGTCAAGTATCAAGTGACAAGTCCAAGATCGGTTCCAAGGCCCTACATAGAGATCGGTTCAAGATCGGTTCTTGTCGTTCTCGTCTTGATCATGGATCTTGATCTAGCTGAGCTTTGACCCTACAAAAAGTTTTGAAGTTTTTGAAGGAAAATAAAGGAATCCGGAAAATTTAAAGTGATAATTCTATCAAAATAAATTGGACAGCTTTCTTGAGTGCCAAAAACTTAAGTAAATAAACTAATTCGAATACATTTTTTATTTTTAGTCGTACAAACCGAATTGAACTTGACATTAGTAAAAAAGCAAGAAATCTGGATTTTTGCTCAGGGGTGATCACGTGAAGAGATTTGGTAGCTTTTTGGACGTTTCGAGAATATGGAAGCTTTTAATAATTCCAAAAGCTACGCATCTGCTATGTTTAGTGGCGCCCAGTCTTTTTTTATAGCATGAGTAATTTCAGGCCTTTGTGATAGTTCTGGATAGGGCGATGCTCAAAATATTTCATGCTATCAAATCTCTTGTCACCGGTCTGCTGCTCTCTGCCTTGCTGGGGGCTTTGTGAGTTTTGACCTCGTGGTTTGCTGGGTGGGGCTAGGATATATATTAATTGATATTAATCTTCGTCGCAAAGCAATTCACATTTTTCGCAAACATGTTTGGAGCTTCAAGACAACAGCCCATTCTTGTGCTGAGTAAGTACTGGGTAGTTTCGAATGATTGGTTCGGGAACAATTAAATGCTACAATGGCAGCAAGACAGACAGCAAAGTCAGTGAGCATCACTGGTTTGGGTTAGGGCAAATAACTAAATCCGCACCAGCCTCCATGAACTGCAATCAGACCAGGGCCCTGATCGGCGGCCGGCTAGTACTTTTTGCTGGCGCTCACATACGTGCTGGTTGCCCCGGCAACGGGCTATTGACCAATGAGAAGCCAGGAAAGTGCAACGTCACTGCGATTTCTCATATACCTGTGCCCCCCGTAGCGCGCTTCTCATTGGTCAATAGCCCGTTGCCGGGGCAACGTGCACATATGTGTGCGCGGGCTAGCGCGCTAGCCGGCCGCCGAACAGTGCTCAGGTTTCCACATCAGTCTCTCCGTATCAAGATCTAAGAGTTTTGGTACATGTTTATTTACCTTAGGACCCACAGCCTGAGCCTTTCTTTTGTTGCAAAGCCCAAGTGATGGTCAAAAGCATATCAGTTGGGGAAATTACGAGGCGAAGATAAAAATTTATCAGCCAATCAACGGCCGGAGTGGGCGGGGCAATGACCATATATGGTCATAAAATCAGAAAACTTCATCTATTCCATGCATCCTAGCATTCAAATGAAAAAAATAACACATTAGAATGTTTTTCAACCACACAAGGCCTACACTCACTCGGTGCACATTGCACTGGCGGCTCTAAATCACAGGCAGGAGAGATTACAGGCCATGGTAATTCAAATATTTTTAGGTTAGGCGGTTGTGCATCAGGCTTAAGGCTAATTTAGGTACCATTGCTTGCAATCTATTCATGCAAGTCACTTTTTCCTTATCCTCAGGTAGGCTCAGGTAGGTAGGTGTTTGGTATTATGATGTCATTTTCATCAAATTGAACATGCACACATTTTTTCTTAAATGGCAACGGCTCAAAGACATTGTTTATTTCGTAATTGTCACATTTGTGCAATATCTCTAGTGTATATTACGCAACGTGTAGTGAGATGGCTGCGTTTTGTCTAGCTATTGTGAGACTTTATATTTTTGGTGACATGTAGGTATCATATCTTGATTTAGGATGTCTATAAATGGAAGAATGTGTAAAAGCTATCTTTGAAAAGTGTGTCGATATCTGAGGAAATACAATAGGCCAAGGAACTGAATAGCTATTAATATCCTGCTAAAATAGGAGCACATTGCTGTATATTCCTAAATTCCTCCAGCATATTGCTTTGCCAAATAGTGTATAAGGTCAGCTTGTGCCAAAGTGACATTTATATAACTGTGATGTCATCTGCTTCAGGTCAGAACACAAAGAGGGAAAGTGGGAAGAAGGTTCAGCTAGAAAACATATCTGCAGCAAAGGTAAGCCTGATTTAGCACTCCCCATTTCAGCTATTTTAAAGGCCATATAGGATAACACCAATTAACAGTGGTCCTGCCAAGTTTGTTATGCATTGCAGCTGCTTGTGTTGTTGTCAGTTGGATATTGAATTTAGTTTATTATCTGAGTTTTTGCTCTTCCATCTTTCAGACCAATGTCTCTGTAAATGATGTTAGTTATCCAGGTCAAATATGGAACTCATTTGCTCAAAATATGTAAAGTGAATTTAAAAAATGCTTTATTACCCATTCTGTTTTACATTAATTACCAATGGCTGTAATCATCTTTGGAGCCTTTGCCTTTGTTTGCAATGGTGTCTACTGTCTTGCCCTGCGTGATGGCGCCGTCTCTGACGCTGTCGCGTACTCTTTGGCAGACCATCGCCGATGTGATCCGCACGTGCCTGGGCCCGCGGGCCATGCTCAAGATGCTGATGGACCCGATGGGCGGCATCGTCATGACCAACGACGGCAACGCCATTCTGCGCGAGATTACGGTGCAGCACCCGGCGGCCAAGTCGCTCATCGAGATCGCGCGCACACAGGACGAGGAGGTCGGTCCGGTCACCAGTCGTCTCCCTCCTGACACTGTCTCCTGTGTTTGTTTCTTCTCTGCTCCTTTCTGATTTATGTGAGATTGGAGGTGAGATGGCTGACATGTTTCATGCAGCAGTGTCGCGTTTTTCAGTGTCTGACCGTGTAATCGGCGGTCGTGTGACCGTTTAGTTGTACTCCGCCGCTGTATTGTTTGCGACTGTCTGCCGTCGAACCATCGGTATGTCTTACCCGGACCCACGGCCCTCCCTCTGACTGGTTGTGTGACCGTGAAGTTGTACTCTGCCGCTGTCGTAACTACTAACTGCGTCAGACTGCCATCGGACCGTGGCGTGGACGCGTCTGACCGGACCGGCGGCCGACTGACCGACCCTCTGACCCCGCTCTGACCTGCCCTTCCTCCCGCCGGCAGGTCGGCGACGGCACGACGTCGGTGATCGTGCTGACCGGCGAGATGCTGGCCGTGGCCGAGCCGTTCCTGGCGCAGCAGATGCACCCCACCGTCATCATTAAGGCCTACCGGCGCGCCCTAGAGGACCTCGTTCACATACTCGAGGACAAAATTAGGTGAGCACGCGGCCGCTGCTGGGTGATCATGATGAAGTCAATGCTCCGTCCAGCGTTCACAAGTCACAGCGGAAATCGGTGCCCACGATTTGACTTTTTTGTATTTGCAATGTGTACTGCACAATCAGTACCTAATCATGTTGTTCTCTCAATGAATGCTCTTCATATACACTTTACTCCGTTTAGAGTCTCGCTGTATTGGACTGGCACTGAATGGTTTTCAGCTGATGTTTCTTCTACTTTCTGAGTCTGGCCGTCATCGCCAGGCTTTTCTAACCACCTGCCCTCCCCTCCCGGCTCCGCCAGTGTGGAGGTGGACACCACGGACCGGAGCGCAGTGCTGGCCATCATCAACTCGTGTCTGGGAACAAAGTTCCTCGGCAAGTGGGCAGACATGGCCTGCAACATGGCTCTCGACGCCGTGCAGACGGTCAAGCTGGACGAGGACGGCCGCAGTGAGATCGACATCAAGCGCTACGCCAAGGTCGAAAAGGTGCGGAACGGTAGAGCCTAGAGGGGTCTGAGTGGAATGGTGTGGGCGCGACGGTGCTGCGGAGTTGACTGATATTAGCATGCTGAAGTGATTACTGATTAAAGCAGTGAAGTGCTAAGTCAATAATGTGACAAGCGTCGTTAGAGAAGGTAAATGTCCATTCATATGTTTTCAGGATGCTTTGAGGCGGGGTGTTTCAATTACCGCGTCACTATGTGCTGATATGACGCCCCTGTGCGCTGTCTCTAACACCGCGCCCCCGTTCGGCTCGCGCAGATCCCGGGCGGCACCATCGAGGAGTCGCAGGTGCTGCGCGGCGTGCTAGGTCAACAAGGACGTCACCCACCCCAAGATGCGGCGGCGCATCGAGAACCCGCGCATCATGCTGCTCGACTGCACGCTCGAGTACAAAAAGGGCGAGAGCCAGGTGGGTGCGCTAACGCAGAGAGGCGCAGATAAGGATCGGCGCTTAATTATCGAAAGATGTTTACCACTTTTCCTGCAGCGTCACGGATGGTTTAGTGAGACCGACAGTGGCCAACTTAAATGGCTATCGTTAAGGCAGCGAGTGAATGGTTGGGAGATTGAACGAGGAACGATGCATTTTGTGTCCCATTGTAAGGACTTTAGCGGCGCTGTAGGGTCAGATTAGACCATTTTATGTTTCGAGCGTCTAATGTGTGATGAAAACATCGTGTCGCTGCTGTCACGATGAATTTGCTTTTGTGTTTCATTCACCTTTTTGGACAATATCGCATGTGATTCATCGAAGAACACGAAACAGTGAAAGACTGAGATGATAAAGAAGATGTCACATTGACGAAATTTGTCGTCCATTTTCCAGAAGCAAAATTATGTTGGAAATTAGTCTGTTGAGAATATTGATTAATTATTGGGTAGGTATGTGTTATGTAATGTTTTAGTGGCCGTCATGTTCATCAGATTAACGGCTTTGTGGTTGCTGTTATTGATGCTTAGGCAATTTTCTTCCAGCCACCTGACGGGTATTAAATCAGCCTGCTTGGGACGGGTGCTCGTATCCACAAGGCATCCATCATTTTGTGGAACCAGGATACACGTAACCTCCGTTTTAAAGATCAAAGGCGATGCACTTAGTTACTGATCAAAGCCACGAAAACCTGGCCAGCGACAATGCAATTAACCAGCCGGCCAGCCGACGACCGCAGGCTAATTAATTCACAGCGGCTGGGAATGAGGATCTCGAATGTTGTTTTCATTTTCTCAGACTAACATCGAAATGATGAAGGAGGAGGACTTCACAAAGATCCTCGAGCTGGAGGAGCAGTACATTCAGAAGCTGTGCAACGAAATCATCAAACTGAAGCCGGATGTGATTTTCACCGAGAAGGGCATCTCCGACCTCGCCCAGCACTACCTAGTCAAGGTGGGTATCACTTGCCATCGGTGTGCAGTGGTGGTATATGGGCTGACATGGATTATGTGTTACCATCTCAATGTATTTCATCGTTACTCAGTACTATCGGCGAACTGTTGGTGGAAGTTACATGTTGAAATTTATCTTTCTATATTTATTGTTAATTATTTGCTTTCACGATGCGGCTATGTTAATCTATAAGAAATATGAATAACTACCTCGTAACAGCTTTTCCTGACCACGCAGTATGTCGTTTCTTAATTCTTTCCACAACTACATAATATGCATCGCACAGGAACATACTGTTATTTCGAAATTGTGGCATTCGTGCAATATCTCCAGTGTATATATTTCTCATTCCGTGGCCCGCGAATTTCCAACTACCCCTCCCCCTTCAAACCGTCAGGCGGGCATCACGGCCATCCGTCGCGTGCGGAAGTCGGACAACAACCGGATCGGCCGGGCGTGCGGCGCCACCGTGGTGAACCGGACCGACGAGCTGCGAGAGGACGACATCGGCACTGGCGCCGGACTGTTCGAGATCAAAAAGGTAACGCAGGGGGATGGGGAGGGGAGGCGGTGGGAGTGGGAGGGATGAATGGCTGGTGAAGGTGTGAGTGTAAGTGTGGGCCTATCCCACAGGCTTGACCCTATCTCATCCATGTTATTTCTGATTATTTATTATTCAGAAGTGTCGGCGTAGGCGTTTGACTCTTGGACGAAGAAATGAATGTTCAAATACTTCCTGTTCTGAGCAAAAATGTTGCAGCGAAGTACTTATGTGATTGGCAGATTTACTTCACGTAATCAATTGCAACAGCGTTAAGTACTTTGACACTGGACAGGGATCTTTTTCTCCTTTTCCCTGAACCATTCTTTTTTACGTATCTTACCTGATAAACAGGGAACGGTAAGTTATCTGGCATGATAACTTGTGGTTTAGAACTATTAACGTCAGAAGGGGATATCGTGTGAATCCTCTTGCAACATATCTGCGGGGGAGGAGAAGTTAGAGCCCGAAATGGAGCGGCGAATCAACCAGCGATTCCCTGTAAATAGACTGGAAAACGCGGACCATCTGCGTCCCAGTATTGGGAGCGTGATTGACTCAGCGAAGGCTGAGATTGTGTTTCCGGTTCTATAATAAGTTGGAGTTGGAGCGGAATTGTGGACAGAGTGGGTCGTCGTGCCTTAAATTGTGCCGGCTTCACGGCATAGTGAAATAATTAACGTTACATTGAACGGACGCTAAATGGGAGACGACCTTTCCAACTGTCGCTGAGTACGTTGAGGCAAAAGTCGTGCGCACAAAGCTCTCTTTTCATCAGTTAAGTGTCCATTTTGTGTGTGCTTCCAATTTCCATTTGTCCCACAGGTTTGGTCATTGGTGTAAAAAGGGCGAATTCTTCTGACATGATGCCAGCTAATTATACAGCATATTTGCGATATAATCTGCGTCCCTCTCACGGCCGTGGCCGCCGCTAACCCACCCCTTCTCCCCAGATCGGCGACGAGTACTACACGTTCATCACCGAGTGCAAGGACCCCAAGGCGTGTACCATCATGCTGCGCGGCGCCAGCAAAGACATCCTCAACGAGGTGGAGCGTAACCTGCAGGACGCCATGCACGTGGCGCGCAACGTGCTCTCCAAGCCGCGCCTGGTGCCGGGCGGCGGCGCGGCGGAGATGGCCGCCGCCACGCTGCTCACCCGCCAGGCCACCGGTATCAAGGGCGTGCAGCAGTGGCCGTACCGGGCGCTGGCGCAGGCGCTGGAGGTGATCCCGCGCACCCTGGCGCAGAACTGCGGCGCCAGCACGATCCGCACGCTGACCGCCCTGCGCGCCAAACACTCGACCGGTCAGTGACGCGGCGGGGGGGGGGGGGGGAGGCAGAGGGTAGTGGGAGTGGAGTTTGGTTGTGGTGACAGCTGGTATGTCCACTACGTTTGTTTTGTTGGTTGATGAATCCGTGTCGTTTTCGGAATAACTGCTGCCTGAGCTAGTTGAGCTCATGTATGAATATTGCCCAAATCCAATGATCTACCTACTCTCAGTTATAATGTTCTGTCGTATGGATCATGACTACAGATGCGGTGAGTCCGCCTCCTCCCAGACTCGCCTTACCTCCCCCGCCGCTGAGTGTCTCCGTTCTCCGGCAGAGGGTAACGCCACGTGGGGCGTGAACGGCGAGACGGGCGAGCTGGTCGACATGAAGGAGCTCAAGGTGTGGGAGCCGCTGGCCGTCAAACTGCAGACAGTCAAAACGGCCGTGGAGGTAAGCAGAGGGCTGCTCAGGGGAGGGATGTCTGGACGCGGGCTGTCGGATGGGAGTGAGTGATAGGGATGAGTAAGAATGGGATCAGAGAGGGTCGGGTCAATGGCGAGTGGGGACATCTCGTGGAGGGCCTGGAAGGGGCGAGAGAAGGTTAAAAGTCTGGTGAACGTCAGGGAGCAGCAAGGTGCTGAAACATGTGCACTCCCACTACACACTGGGCCGCCGGGCCGTGCTATCTTGGCGGCAGTGAAGACCGACGCTGCGAGCACCGCAGAGACAGATCACCCGTCATGCAATAGCATCAGTCCATAATGCATGCGGCGCGGGTCTGACTGGGAGCGTCATTGTGCGGGCCACGTACCCATGGTTGTCAGTCGCCCCATCACTGACTCGTTATCTGTTCGGGGAACTGCCGTCACCCCGTTAGCTCTTCGGATCGTTCGCGGCACTCTGGTTCGGGGAAGTATCGGGGTATAGTAAATTCCTCCGAGATTTCTGTCGCATTACGTACTCTGTGGCGGAGATGTTTGTCATCGGATTAGCGGGCTCTATCGCGTGCTGTAATCGTGGTCTCGGTGGTAAGTGTTACGGCTTTATCATACGTCTGTGTAGTTTCCAACCCTTCGTCAGTCCTACTCAGCATTCGGTGGATTGAGGTTTGTAGCTCCGGGGTCGGACTCGTAACTCTGAGAGTCTAACGCAGTAAAGTTATCCTATATGATGACAGTCACGAGGAGAAGCTCCGGCTCGCCTTGGCGGCTTTGATATAACGCCAATTTAAGTCGATTTTGTCCTTGCAACGCCTTAGGAGCAATGTGAAAAAGAGTAATACCACCGAGAGGAGGCAGGCGATATCTGTCCCATTGATTCCGTAAGACATGGTTACTTGGTTATTATAATCATGAAGGTAAGGTAGAAGAATCAATCAGTCCTATTGGATAGTGCAGTACCGAGGAGCTGACAGTGAATCTAATCATTTGACCAACGCAGTGCTGTTTAGGTAGGTACTTTTTACCAATCCATTGTATTTTGTCTTTTGCAGACGGCCATCCTGCTTCTCCGCATCGACGACATCGTCTCCGGCCTGAAGAAGAAGGGAGACGGCGCCGGCGGGGCCGGCGGCGCGCCCGCCGGCGTGCCCGAGCAGTGACGTCACTAACTCGCTCTCCGCTGACGTCACCGCTCACGCCCCGCCCCCCGCCGCGCGCAGCACTAATGGTCTCTGGACTGCAGCGACGGCTGCGTGTACACCGTTCGCGCCTTTGATTGTAATTGCCACTCATTATTAATGTTCCGCCCAATAAACCACGTAATTCGCCAGGTGACGCGTCTGGTGCCGTGTCGCGGACTCCCGGTGACCGGTGGGCGGCGGCCGAAAATAGACGGCACGGGAGGCTGATCGACCAGACCGAGCAGACACGGACAGATGACGATTTTTATTACCCGACTTGACTAATCCGAAACTGGTATACGTGTGGTTTATAGAATGCGATGAAGTTTCATTATGATTTGTGAACTCTGATCCATACTAGCCTTTGTAGTACGGCTGGATACTCCACAGACCCCTCCTCTCACCCGTTTGTAGCGGATTTCGTCAGCGCGCAGCGTTGGAACCCATCTCTCAGAATACACACGGCCCGCATGATGCCTCGGGCGCCCACACGGCCGGCGACTATTGCAGTATCTATTTCAGTAATGGCATATCGCATCGGTGGCGGAACTGGCTCAATAATAGCACGGCAAACAATAGTATGCGGGCTCGGGCTGCCTGTAACCGAATATCAAAGGTCCGCTATCCTCCGAGCTTAGTTACTGCGCATCCGGGAAAATGTACGGTGATTCGCTACGCGTTTTATTAGCGTACTACTTATTATGAAAATCACGGCAGGTATAGTTGGAAAAGTGGTGAGGCTGTTCAAACCTGAAGTCCTATGGAAAAAGGAGAGGAGAGAATCGAATAGCCAGTGTCAATGTCTGTGCTTTCCTCTGATCTCATATTGGATGAAAAATGATAATACTACAATCTTGCGTTACACCGTCAAACGAGACTTATTTGTTCAAGTACTCAAAAGTAGTACAAGATCATCTTTCAGCTTTCTCAAATTCCCAGCAATAAGGATGGATATCGCAGTTCACGCCAGAATGCAGAGGGCAATGTAAAACTTATGTTCCTGCATGCTGCCATCAGCGGACTGGGAGTTCCCGGCCTAATGGCAGATGGCCATGAGTTGCTCAACAACTTCTGCCTTTACCGGGCACGGACAAATGAGGCCAGTTAGGCAGTGCTCTAAAATTCACTTTTATGGACAGCAAAGCCTGGCTGATGGATGCATATGATCGTCCATTTTCCCTAATTAACTCGATACTCGTATCGTTGCATTTGACCGCTGCAAAATTCATGAATGTACTGGGCACGATTTATCGCTTTGTGTCGTCTTACGGCGCTGAACACAGTTGTCGGCTGTTCCCATGAATCATTTTAGCATATAGCGGTTGAATCGTCTGATGCAATCAGCTAGTGCAGGCGCCTATCGGACCGGTCCCATGCGTCATCAACCAAGAACCGCCTGCTGTAAAGGAGGGAGCCGCCTGTCGGGCCTCGCATGACGTGAGTCCGTGACCGCTAATTCTCCGATCGGGAGACTACCTGGCAGCTCGGTGGTCGTACTGGTCGGGTTTGGGCACGGACGGAGCGGCGGGCACTGGGTAAAGGACCTGGGGACAGGCGCAGAGCCGGCGCCAGGCGCCGTGCGAGTGCTGTGACCGGCTCAGGTCGGAGGTGGCAGTGGTGGCTGTGGTGGCCAGTGAGAGGCATACTGTGTTGGAGGGCCGCGGAGAAGGACTGGTGCGTGCAGAGATCGCTCCCGGGGCCCTCACGGATGGACACAATCAGTAACCGACTACCGGCGTCTCAGTCTGCAGTGGACTGGTGCGTTGACCGCACTCAGTCGCTTCAGTCAGTCCCCGGTCGTCTCAGTCCTCTGATCAGACCGCTCTCAGTCATCTCCGTCAGTCCCAGTCGACTCAGTCCTGAACAACCGTAACCACCTGGCTCGATAAGCGCTTATCGAGCAATGAGAAACACATTAGATTCCCGCTAGATTCGAGCCGAGCCGAGCAGAGCTTAGCACAGGCCGGCGCAGTCGGCGCCGACCTACCGAACGGGTGGCAGTGTGTGCCGTGACCGGTGCCGGGGAACTCTGTGGGCCACGGTGACGGAATCACGGACTTGGGACGCTCTCACTTTCCAGGATATGCAGCAGTGGTGGTCGTAAGTGTAGGTCGTGTTGGCGCTGGAACTAAAGACAAATGAGTGACGCGCTGTGGAGTGAACGTCTGTGTCTCGCGGGGCACTGGGCCACAGAAATCAGGTCGTTAGTGAGTCTGGACTCGCTGCTAGGCGGAAGGTGCTGATCCATAAGGAAGCCGTCCACACAGGTCGAGTGGCCGCTGCATGGCCCGGCTGCCTCCGCTGCTGCTGGCCACAGATGGTTTCCGCTGGACCCATTAGCTCCATTTCCTGTCCAGTCCCACAGCTGAGGCCCATGGTCTGGACGGGTATCGAGTAACGAGACCATACGAGATCATTAGGTTGATTACCAGGGGAATGAGGAGAATCATTCTCTATCCCGCTCTTACTATGCTGTATTATATCCGCGAAATAACGTAACCAAATGTGCCGTGTGCTATAACTCATTGCATGCCTAGGTTAGAAGTGTCAAGCTGAGAGTCCACGCGAATACCTAAATACTTGTCGGGATAAGTCCGAAACTGGAAAATACCGTACAATAGCAGCGGGGTCGCTGGCAAGGACAGCTTGTCTTACCGTCAAACGGACACGCACATGTACAAACTTACACTAAAAACAAGCTGGGATCAGTCAGAACAAACTGGACATTCTTATCTTGTTTGGAAGCTTTAATTTCTGCGTGTTGCGGTTAGCCGGATCAAGCCCCATCGCTAATCCCCCGCGACCTGCAAGCGTCCCTCCTAATCCCCCAGCGTCCCTCCCGCCCCATCCCTGGCCCGTCCGTCCCGCACAGCCCATCCCGTCCTGTCAAGCTCACCCCGTGGTGTCCAGCGCACCCAGGATTCCCGTGCAGGCGTCCCACCCCATGGCCGGCCAGCTCCTCCGGTGGCGCACGGCGGGCGCTCCTCCGTCCCGAGCGCAGGTGTGCGGCCGGCGCGCGGATTAGCGCCGGCCGCGGTCGGTGGGCGCTGATCGCCGTCTGACGCCGAGTTAGTCGTCGTCGGACCGGACCGACGACCGGCGCGGCTCGGCACCGGGGCTCGTCAGCTCGGCTCGGCAGCTCAGCGGGGACAGAGCTGCAGAGCTTCCGTCCATTCGGCGCCGGAGAGCTGGACTCGGCTCACTGAGGAGTGAGGACGGGCCGTGGACGGCGACGTTACGCTGCTCATTGAAGACGTGGCAAGGACTTAGACGTTACGCTGCAAACGAACCGTGGTCCATACACTGCCGACGTGACGAGTACGTGACCCTGGATACGTGACGCGAAGTGACGTGACATTCGAAAGACGTGACGCGATGCTGTGGCGGCGTTTTTCAGTGTAAGAGAGCGCCCCGTGCTGTGTCAAACAGGGGTGGCGTGCTCGCCTCGCGGTGGGCTGAGTTCACCCGGTTCCAGGATCACTGTCACGAGACAGGGAAAACGGTGAACAGTACCGTACAGCGAAACTGTCACCGAAATGACCCAGTTCAAGGACTGCTCGGATAGTTCCTGCCGTGACCTGGTGCAGCGGAAGGATGCTGCAATCGAAGGTACGACAGCCACAGAGACGGAAGAGTCGTCTCGAGGGCCACCATCTCCCCTGCCAACGGCGCCGGCGCCGGAACCAGGTGAGTTGTGGCGCTCAGAGCTCAGAGACGGGCCATTATTGCCCTTCCGAGGTCACCGGTCATGGAAATGTTACCTGTACTCACGTAGTGATAAATCCAAAGTCCCAAGCGTTGCGTAAAGAGACTGCAGCGTAACAGGTTGACCCAGAAAATCAATCATTGTTAACCTGTTTTGTGTGTACCTAAATCGGCATATACAGACCAGAGCTTTGATAGAAACTATTTATAATTTCAACTCGGCTTATAGCTACCTTGCCGTAAACATGTCTCCTAGGCTATGTAAGACAACCGGTTAAACGACGTGTGTAAGCTCATAAAAATAACTATTTTTATTTGTTGTGACAGGTCCAAAGGCAGGTCACAAGGATTCAGCAAAGGTCAAATGTTCTCGATTTGTAAGAGATTAGACAAACTGGTCAAATAGGGGAGAGTGGGGCAATGGCGACACCATAAGCATTTTGCTCAATAGCTTAGCTATTTGAAGCTATTTTATGGTGATTTTGACTGTGGTTATAGCCAAAGGAATAGGCTTTCAGATAACACCCAGTTTTAGTATCTCACAGGGCCTCCTCTAACATACCCACTGGGTGGGCAAATGCCTACCCAGTCACCACAATTGCCCACCCAGTGGCGTCGATTTGCCCACCCAGAAGCAAATGCAAAAATAAAGGTCCTGCCAGACGTCCGGTAGGAACTACCACTTCGGTTTCCCGGGAAAAAAAACTTGCTAGCAGCCAGTGCCCCAGCCCCCAATTACCGGGGTTACATGAGCAAGTAAATGCGTATCAGGAACGGATTTTCCTATTCGCTCACCATTGTAGTCCGTTTGTAATGCGTATTAACTCTGCTCATGTAACCCCGAGCAATCACTGCAGTGCAAGTTATTTTTTTTTATATCTGTTTTAGTGCTTGTTGGAGGATCATTATTAATGTAAAAATCAAGTATTTCTTTATTGTCATGACCTTTCCTCCTTTTCAAAAATATGCTGAGCCAAAATTATATTGTTTTAGCGTTTTCAAATATATCGGCCACAGGCCTTCATCAGTGAAATATCCAAAAGAACACTTTTGCATCTTTTTCTGATTGCCGCATTTTAAAATATCTTTTTAAAGGTCGTTCGTGCTACGTTGCCTGATCATACCACTATGGCCAGACACAGTTCACAAATGTAACATTGGCGATAAATCGCAGCGGTTCCTATATACGCACATTGCACATCACAATCTGTAAATGTATCACTGTCTATCAATAACATTGAGCGTGTGGTACCTGGCAAATATCGTTCGAGATAGTGGACATTATCCATACAAAATACAAGAAACCTATATACTATCGAGCGGATTTTGAAACGGCTCTGAAATTGTTTCCAATCGTAAACTTAAACATATCATAGTATAAATGCAGATAAGAACTTTTTCAGCATAGAATACGTTTCAATGTCTAAGTTCCCTGCCTCGGCTC